ATATATATATATATAATATAATACGTATATACATAATACATATCAGTATATCACCAACAATACACTAGTTGTGAAATTCCCATGGCAGCTGTTGCTTTGTTAACTCATCTATTCATGTACTTGTAGTTTACAATCACCGAAAAAGACGTCTAGTCATATCTAGTCATAAACCTGTTTAAGTATAATGAACCACATCATTTAGATCTCATGTTGGTGTTTTTTCCATCCTTGCTGGTAAACGGTGTTAACTATTTGCGAGTGCTGCAGTTCCATTTATAAAAGTGGATATATTACTATACTATATAGTATTATATATATATATTACATCCCAGGTATATACAGGATATCCCCAGCTAGGGCTTGCAAACATTTATAAACCACGGATCCTAGCTGGGATACAGCCTAAATAAAGATGATGGTTTATCAACATAAATTCATTTGCTAAGTTGATGATACATCTACCATATTTCTACTTAAGTCCATCAACTTTGCAAACGAACTGGGGCACCACCGCGGCTCCCCCTCAGGATTCTGCTCTCGCGACGGCTGAAGGCCGTGCTCCGCGCCGAAAGCGCGCAGCAGGGCTCTGGGCTGCGGGCGCTGCTGGGCTGCCGAGTGCTGGAGGCGGGAAAGGCATGGTGACGTGGAGATGCCCCATTTTCAGACACCGGTCACCTATATTAGAAGACTAAAAAAACCTATACCTATATATATATATATATATTGACTCTATTTTTTGTCCCATTAACTGGAAAACCATCCATAAATTCGAAAATATTATAACTGTTTGGTGGTTTGGAACATTTTTTGGTTTCCATATATTGGGAATAATACTCCCAACTGACTTTCATATTTGTCAGAGGGGTAGGTATACCACCAACCAGAATTAGTAACTGACAAAATTCACAGAAGACTAAAGTAGTGGGGAGCATGTGATGTTTAAGTTTGTGCACAAACATTCACAACCGATACCATCCGCTTACCAATACACCCTTTTTTTTACGTAGCATGGAAGTACAAACCTGCACAACCGATAGGGGACCACCCGCTTTGGCCATGTCCATTGCGGGTAGTAAGTAAATTTTCCGCCACTTATATCTAGATATGATATGTGTAATTATATATATATATATATACACCTGGATTATTTTTATAATAACATATGACATATGGTGTACTTATGATTTATGTGTAGTGTAGATCATATAGAGTACAGTTTATATATATATATATACACTATATATATACACTATATATATATATACACTATATATATATATATATACAGTGATTTCCTGTTTTTTGGTGTATATATATATAATACTTACTAATAATATGTAAAACATAGCTAGAAAAACAACTTTCAACAACGATATGATATGGGTTTGTCCAGACATGATTTTTACCTGTAAACTTTTTTTTGGACATGGGGAAAATGGTGGTTTTCAGCCATTGGATGGATGCTTGGTATGTCCCCTGACTGGGTTAGCTACATTATTTATAGCTGGTTGAACTAACCCGAGTTCCGCATATCGCTTGCGAACAGTAGGAGTATCCTCCAAGTGGTAGCTACAGTTAGTCCTATTAGGGTATGGGTTATAATTTGGTATGTATTTGATTTGCAAGAAAGGATGTAGAATGTTCTGAGACTTTGACCAAAACCGAAATTTCAATGTAGCGGATTTATGTTGCTGCAACCATGGTTGCCTGTCACTAGGGGCTATCATCGAAAACTCAGGTAAATGAGGATCAATCGTTTGTGTATATATATATATATACATAGGTATTCTGCACATAGGAATTTAGATGGATGTAGGGTGACAACAAGCCTAGGAGTGAACAATTCAACATGAATCAGACACGTTTAGCACTTCCTGTAACATTCACTTATGTTTCTTGTGGTTGTTTGCAGGTTGTAGAGTTGAACTCCCTTTTTTGTGGGTGCTTCAGGTTGCTCCTGGTGTTCTATTTGTGTTTACACTTTCTCTGCCAAGAATTGTTGCATTTGTGGGTTTTTCTTTCTGAGACTTTGCCTTGTTGGCAGTTCAATGGAGGTTTCCTGAAATAGGGGTACATCCATATATATAGTAGGATTTGCCCCAATAAACCGTCCAGCTATTGGGGTACCTCCATTTGTAGAAGCCCCCAAATCATATTTTTGAAGGTGATCTGGTTGGTGGTTTGGAACATTTTTTATTTTCCCATATATTGGGAATAATAACCCCAACTGACTACTATTTTTCAGAGGGGTTGAAACCACCAACCAGTTATTTTTGAAGGTGATTGTTTCAATGATCGTTGTTCCACCATCCAATCCCATCCGGCGGCAAAGCCATGTCATCCTCGAAGGTGTTCGCGGTCGGCAAGGAGCTCTTTATCGTTTTCGCCTTGAAGTGGGATCCGGCCGACCGACGAAAAAACTGGATGCCCTTCATAATTTTTCTCATGGGGTAATCCCTCGGATTGTCTGATTTTTCGCCAGTTTACAGTTTCAGTAATTTAGGTCCGATGATGTTGGAATGGAAGTTGACCCTCCAGTGAAGCCTGACTGCATAACCAGTGGGTGACCTTCCGAAAAAAATCACCCAAGGAAGGGTCAGATACCAGAGTGATGTCATGGCACATCTGAAATTAACCCAAGTTTATTTGGTTCAGTAGTTGTCCATTCGTTTCCGAATGTAATACAGCCCAAAATCTCTCTCTCTCTCTATATACATATATAGATAGATAAATGTATGAATATAGAATGGACCAACATGGTTGCAGAGCCAAAGTTTTTCTCAATTAGCACCTTGCAGTATAAATGTTATAATATACATACAGTCTTGGTGGTTCTATTTCAACTTCAATGACTGTCCTAGTTTTAAGGGGGCCAACGGCCAACGAGTAGTCCTCGATGACGTCACTGTTTTAATGCTGGTTAGGAGGGGGAACCATTGCAAATGATCCTTGGTGCATGATTATATAAGTTGTTATCCAGCCATGTAGATGATTGTGGGAACCGTCGAATTTCACGGGTGCAACCACCCAGTGTTTAACCTCAGGATGAGCTTCGACGAGGTGGCAGCATTCGCTTGCACTTTGGAGCCATGGCGTTGGTTTGTTGTCAATACAAAAGCGCTGAGACTACGGGGATATTGGCATGTAGAGTTTTATTTGTCATTATTTTGCAATAGGTTTTGAGTAGTCTACCATACATATTTATATGGACGATCAACTGAACTGTGATATGTTGTGGGAGGACGACCGTAGTTGCGAGCTAGATTGGGGACTCGCTACAGGAAGCTATGTCATTATGTCATTTATGTCCCATATTAGATTATGTTGCCTGATTTTTGAAGTCCATGTTCAGTCACACACCAACAGGCGCAATTTTTACACTGGATGTTTTTCAGGTGTTTTGACACAATTGTTCCAGGAAATTTGACCGTCATTTTTGACGTTTTGGGCCCCCGTTTCCTGCCTTCAATTCAGTTCTGGATCACAACAAAGCTATTTTTTAATGCATTCGCATTACCACAACTCTTCTCTTTTGCTAAGGATGTAAAAACATTTTTTGAGGTCGTACAAATACAGAACATGCTTTTTGTTGTGTTGTTTCCTGGCAGTGCTTTTTGTTGAATACAGGTAAGCTGGTCTTCAGATCTGACCCGAAGAACAGTTGGTACCCAAGGACTTAACTTGTCTCTTTGTCTGTTCATTTGGTGGCGTTTTTTGGTTGGTGGAGTCATATGTTTTTTTTTTCATACGACCAATGCTACCCGTATCTGGTATCATGATGTTTCTTAACCTTCATATTGTTGGGATGTGGTGGGAAGGGTTGGCTCAAGCACGAGCCAATAGATTATGGTGAGTTCAACAAATATTCACCATTTTGCAAGACATATCCCGATGGATTGCTGTAGCTGGCGATGTTCTGTATGTTCTTACAATGTGAGGCCCCCCAGTTATAAGTTGGTTTATAAGCCTCAGTAACTATAGTTATAAGTACCATAAAGCATAGTTATTGGAGTTATCATCCAACTTAGCTATCTTGGGGGCCTCACATTGTATGCTTGATGATAAGGGCCCTGTTTTGAAAGTAATAATAAGTGTTGACCCTTCACCATGTATCCATAGATTCCATAGATCTTGGGTGCTTAGAACAGAAGGTCAGAAGTGCCCGATGTTCGTCTTACATGCCATACACATATGTCATCATGCCAGTCCCCCATTTTCCAGATACTTTACTCTGACTGCTACCATGGTTTTGTTTGTCAGAGGGATTTCATGCAGTCGGCCAGTGGCCAGTGGTTGCGGATGAACTTGACCCAAGCGACGAGAAAAACCATCAGGACATGGTGGTGGCTACTTGGTGGAGCAGTTGCAGTCCGACAGGCCACGGAAAGGGAAGATGGCGCACACATGCTGAAAGTAGCAGAATTTGGGGTTGCATGTATGGTTGCTTATTTAATTACAGTAATGTTGGCCTGAATGCAAAGTAGTTCTTATTCTATAGGTCCCATCAGCAAGTGATTAAGCCACGCATAGCCACGCCCGCAACATGATATAGATTTGGGCTCCGCTGACCTAGCGCAATAGGGATCGTTCAGATCCATCATCCACCACAGCTCCTGGCTACGAGTAGCTAAGTTTAGCCATGGTTTGGAGCGGGACATAATTTCAAAAGGAACTGGCAATATCATCACCAACAGGATTTCAGGTTGGTGGTTCATATTTTGTATTCATTGCTCAGAATTTCCTTGACTATCACGATTGTCACGATTTACTTTCATATTACTGTAATGTTCCTCAAGCGTAGATGTTCCTGGTTGAAATCAACTTTTTGTGGCCACATTTTCATTTTGGCAGGATGCAGCATGTGTGTATAATATCTCCAGATGTTAGCTTAACAAATCCACTCCAGATCTGTGATATGTCGGCAATCATCACCTTTGGGATATAGCCGCCACATGCTGCCAGTTCATTAGAAACAATTTTCTGATCACTGATTCGTCAACCATTCCATATCGTAAATTCAACTGCGATTCCTTGGAACATACAGTGGGGCATACTATTATACAATAATTGTCTATCCATTTCTCCTTCCTTTGGTAATCTAACTTACAACAATACAAGCCTTTTTGAAATTATCCTGGAAAACCCCTATAGCTGCAACATCCCGGCGGAAGGGAAACCGCGCGAGCGTTTTGATTGGTTGCTTCCAGGAGAGTCACAATCACCTGTAATTTACAATATAAAATGCTCTTCCGCTCAGTTTGGATAACTGAATTTGGGTTAAAAAAAGTGGATGCAAAACTCATTGATTTTTAACAAATCCAGGTAAACATCATGTGCATCAGACGTAGTAAACGATCCCAGAGATCTCAGCAGCGTAGCAACATGTCACGTAGTAAACGATCCCAGAGATCTCAGCAGCGTAGCAACATGTAACGTAGTAAACGATCCCAGAGATCTCAGCAGCGTAGCAACATGTAACGTAGTAAACGATCCCACAGATCTCAGCAGCGTAGCAACCTGTAACGTAGTAAAAGATCCCAGAGATCTCAGCAGCGTAGCAACCTGTAACGTAGTAAAAGATCCCAGAGACCTCAGCAGCGTAGCAACATGTCACGTAGTAAGAAAGTCCCAAGGATCTCAGCAGCGTAGCCACATGTAACGTAGGAAACTATCTCAGAGATACCAGCAGCGTAGCAACATGTAACGTAGTAAAGGATCCCAGAGATCTTAGCAACATCGCAATATATCCTGTACGAAGTACGAGGAACGTTAACATGCCACCCCACCCCGCCCCAACCCCAACCCACACTAACACGGCAATATATCCTGTACGAAGTACGAGGAACGTTAACATGCCCCCCCACCCCACCCCACCTCACCCCACCCCAACCCCAACCCACACTAGAGATCTCAGCAGCGTAGCAACACGTAACGTAGTAAAAGATCCCAGAGATCTTAGCAACATGGCAATATATCATGTACGAAGTACAAGGAACGTTAACATGCCCCCCCACCCCACCCCACCCCAACCCCAAGACAAAGAGCAATACTCAAAAAAGAAGCAAAACGCACGTACGGTTTTCCTGCCGTAGGCTGCAACATGATCCATGGAAGTAGATGAAATACCATGATTTACCAGACCCTCTGGCAATTTCTAGAGCGTAGCTGTGGAGAATCACCATTTCTGCCAGGTCGAGCCACTTCTGGGGTCCTAAGGCGGAGGGTGGGGGCCATTGCCGCGACGGCACGGCAGCACTGGCCTTGGAGTTCGGGCCCGAGCCCGACGACGAGAGGCGCGAAACGGAGCCGTGGGAGGAAGGGATTGGGATGTACCTGGGAAAGGAACTTCGATTTTTGGGAGGAAACCCAGGAAACTGATGATTTTTTAGGATGGAAACTGAGGGTTGGCCCAGAGTCGCTTGAAGACGTTGAAACTTTAGGACGCAATTCATTGACACCATGCAAGTGTCAAAAATCCGATTCTAGAACCAAAAAAGGGCTCTCGCATTGAATTTGTGTCAGTTGCTTGTCACCCAACAAACAGATAAAGGACAGGGTAAATCCACTAGGATCATCTGATTCGTGAGTCCGATGAATCAATGAATTCCCGATATTCCCGTACGAAAAAACTCTATGTTTCCTTTGTTGAATGCTCTGATCATTCTACGTCCGTGGAGGGCGTCGTTATTTTTTTTGTATCCCCCAGAAAAGTGATGCTGAATCAAAAGTCGCTGGCATACTTCTTGAGGTTGACCCTACCAATAGACTCAGTAAATACTGAGTTTTGGTCAAATGGTTGAAGACCACAGTAGTATTGCAGAAGCACGCTTGTCAGAGATGTGCACGAGACCCAAAAAAGACAACCACTACTAGTAACTACTAAGATGTCAAGGGTTTTGGGATTTGATGGGACATATCATGATGACCACCTTGCCCCATGTGTGAAATGTTGGACTATCACCATTGTCCTTATGATTCGATGGTGATTTGATGGTCCCATCCCCAGACACCGCCGCAGGGACTGTGGCTTGAAATTCTCTCTGTGGAATGACTTGGGCAGTTCCTTCGGTCTCTGTTCTCATGAGCGCCCCGGCAGTTACATCTTTGTCCGACTGGTTGGCTGATGAATTATGATTACTTCATATAGGGAGAATCCTCATGCTGATATGCTGACTCATGCTTTACTTGTTTTTTTGTACTGATGATAATAACATATACCAAATGAAGTACCACAGAGGCTTCTCCATGTTTCCCAAATGACATCCTGGCGTGATTAGTTTTCAGCAACACATGAGCCTGATGTGGGAGCATGATGTGAGAGGCACATCTCAACTTAGTTGTTTGACCAATCAACCAACAGCAGGTTGCAGAGTTAACCTTTCGAGGATGAATCTGTTGTAGATGTGTTTTCATTATATACTGTTTTTTTGGAGGCTGATGACAAATCCAGTTGCAATCCGCAATGGAGACGTGTGATTCAATATTTGCCAAAGTTTGAGTGTCTGCTGGGTTGTGATTTCTTTCGGCATAACATACGGATCCAAATGCGTGCCATATGTGGCAGGTGCAGCTGTGGGGGCTGATTTTCCTGGCTGGTTCGGAAAGAAATAGAAAGTTCACTACATGTCAGACGTCAATCAAACTTGGTTTGATTTATTTGCTGCTGCAATTGCAGTATGTATGTATTGAATTGTATTTACATATATATATATATGATTTGCATACACAAATATCGGTTTGTGATGCACAGCAGATGTAGTCCTTGCTTTTCTCCTGCAAAACTGACGCTCTCAATCCGGCAAAACGTCATAAACGGTAATATGATGGGATATGTATATATGACATGCAAGATCAAGATATCAATGTTTCTTAAAGTGCATAATAATATCACGTTTGGATAATATATTTTTCTGGTTCCCTTTTAGGACATGTATTTCCCAAGTAGCCAACCACTAGGTATCTTCGCTCAGTGGAAGCACGGAGCTGCTTTGACATCAACAGCTCATGGGAACGCTTTGCCGCTAAAGATGCTTGCAGAATCTTCAGGGAATCCGAGGCGCCTGGAAAATCAGTGGTGGCTGTTGCGCCATGGGCTAAAAAACGAGGATCTCTGTGGCAAAAAAACGACCACCCACCAATTTTATGGTAGTTGGTAGTTTTATGGTTAACATATCCGAAAAAGAAAACATGTCTGATGATCGAGAAAGGGCATGGCTGAAGCAGTGATGGTACAGATGGGGAATCAAATGGCTGAGAATATCATGTTTGGTTGTTGCTGTGCTTTTGTTACCCTTCCTACTATCATTTATAGGATAATGGTGTGATGGTTTTGCACGGGGATTGAAACCAGCACCCTGATCTTCAATTTGAACCAATTTACCCTGGATAGGGGATGCACATGCATCAATGCATTGATTACTTGGAAATTGATAGGCATTGCAAGAGCCATTGTGAACAGTTAGTTATATATGTAAGTTATTTATATATATAATATCTATAATATATGGGTGCCAAATATTCAGCAAAAAGGCTGGGTTGATGCACCAAGCATAGAGCAACATGGCGCAGAATACCGGATCCAAGGCAAACAAGTTAGATCATGGCAAATCCATGCAAATCCCATCTTTGAGAATATTGTCGAGGACCAACTCCAACATGGTAATAATTCGATAATTTTCTCATTTGCTCCTGATAGGTATGCATCTACAGGTAATTACACTGACTACATATGTAAGACCTACAATTCAACCTGCAGAGAACTTCTCTCAGCCGACGATTTTCCCACAGTGAAGTACTTAAAGAATTCAATATTACAATGTGTCCTTCACCGGAATCAGTCCTTGCGCATTTGTTTATCTTGTGATGGACAGGAGCTGATAGTGGATTTGATCATGGATCAATCACGCTCCTTGGTGACCTTCGGGAGGAGAAGGGAACGGATAGCAGCCTTGGATTGCAGACTGGGTGGCGTTGTGGTAAATATTTCTATCTATACATACATATAGTAAGTGCATGTATATATATATATATTTATTTATAGACATATATATACATACACAGACATATATATATATATATATGCATACGTACATACGTACGTACGTACACACACATACATACATACATACCTACCTACCTACCTACCTACCTACCTACCTACCTACCTACCTACCTACCTACCTACCTACCTACCTACACGTACGTACGTACGTACGTACATACATACATACATACGTGCACATATACATATACATATACACATACATATACATATACATACACATTTACATTTACATTTACATATACATATACATATATGTATATATATATACAATCAGGTATGTATATATATATATATATAGATACTTGCATATATATATGTACATGCATAATTATATATATATATACATAGTAAGCGTACCATGCATTCAAAATCCAAGTTTTTCATTTGGCTGGTATTTCACTTATCTCTTGTGTGGTCCAAATCATGATGCTTTAGCAGCTTGTGTTAACCCAAACGAACATGCTAAGAACACCTTGAGTCAGACATACAAACAAGCACAAGGCAAAGTCATGCTGATTGCGTTGAGGCTTACCTGGAGTGGGAAATATCATTAAGTGCAGCTTGGCTAAAATGTTGAAGCTGTGCTGCCTTTGCGTATCAATTTACCTAGACACCCAAGGGACCTAGGCAGTCGATCGGATCAAATCCAGATGTTCTTTTTTGGACGATGCCATCGGCCACCTAGCCACGAAAAGAAACCGGGCTGGGTGGCACCAGTGGCTCCAATCTTTTTGGCGTCCGGGTGCCCTTTTTGTGGGGATCAAAACAGCATATTCTTTTTGGTGCAAGCAAAGAAGACATAGGTGGATGGATGAACGTTCTGGAATTGAATGACCGAGAATAGCTAGACAGTTTTTTTTGCTGGATTTAGATTGAGAAACATTGATAGTTACAAAGATAGACATTTGCAGCAAAAGAAAGAGATTCAACAGGATTCAACGCCAGCTTCAACGCCAGCTTCGAGGCGAAGGGCTCTTTGCCGCGCATATTTTTCCACTGCGGAGGTCTTGTGAGTTGAGTGTGGCGGAGTGGATGGAACCTTGGAATTGTTGAAATCCAAGCCATGGTGGTTTTGTTGGGGATGGTTTATGATTGGATTTTGCATATGACCTAGGTTCAAGGGGGTGAGCCGCATTATTTATTTTCTTATCTATCTATATATCTATCTATCTATCCATCCATCTATCTAATCTAATCTAGTCTAGTCTAATCTAATCCAATCTAATCCAATCTAATCCAATCTAATCCAATTTCATCTAATCTAATCTATCTAGTCTATCTAATCTAACCAATCTTATCTAATCTATCTAATCTATCTAATCTATTTAATCTATCTAATCTATTTAATCTATCTAATCTATCTAATTTATCTAATCTATCTAATCTATCTAATCTATCTAATCTATCTAATCTATCTCATCTATCTAATCTATCTAATCTATCTAATCTATCTAATCTATCTAATCTATCTAATCTGCCTAGTCTTTCTAATCTGTCTAATCTATCTAATCTGCCTAGTCTTTCTAATCTGTCTAATCTGTCTAATCTATCTAATCTATCTAATCTATCTAATCTATCTAATCTATTTATACTATCTAATCTTATCTAATCTATCTAATCTATCTAATCTATCTAATCTATCTAATCTATTTATACTATCTAATCTTATCTAATCTATCTAATCTATCTAATCTATCTAATCTATCTAATCTATCTAATCTATCTAATCTATTTAATCTATCTAATCTAATCTATCTAATCTATTTAATCTATCTAATCTAAGCTATCTAATCTATCTAATCTATCTAATCCATCTATTAGATCTATATATCTAATCTATCTAATCTATCTAATCTACCTATCTACCTATCTACCTATCTATCTATCTATCTATCGATCTATCGATCTATCGATCTATCGATCTATCGATCTATCGATCTATCTATCTATCTATCCCCTACCACATGGTTTGTAATCAGGACGGGTCAAAACCATTCAACGTCTACTATCATTCACATTAACGCAGCATATTTTTCCGTTGATGAACAGCCGCTTTTCATGTTCGCTTGCCATCGGTGTGTACTCCAAAATCCATCGGTTTAGGATCATTCCACCTTGTTAAAGGACCATTTTGGTGGTGTATATATATATATATCCCATTATCTATAGATATGGCTGTGGAATATATATATATATATGTATATCCCATTTTCATACATCGCCAATCATCCTACCTGGGATGTCCAGAGTTTTGGTGGAAAACGGCATCTTTTCCAAGGAATTGCTTTTGGCTTTGCACCGCTTTTCGGACCAATGGTGCCTGGGACTACGCCACAGAGCGAGCATGAAGATTAGATATAAGAAATATAGTTTTTACCAAGCACAAACAGGCTTGATTTGATGAATTTTTGTATCAGCCGCATGGTTATCTACAATAACAATAGTGTACGTTGATATATTTACTAAATATATAGAGATCGGTAGATACATACAATCATATATATATATATATGTACAATAATACATATATATATATATGTTGTTTAGGATTTGCAGTTGCACAATGATCATCATGGCGGCCTTGTTCTCAGGTATCAACACTGTCAACAAAGTGCGAACGGCCAGCAAATGGGATGTTGCCATTTGATGCGTGTCTATGGACACTGGAACTGCTCTGAGTGCCAGCATCCTGTGAGTCTAATCAAGGAGATTGATTCATTCCACTGTTGAGTGCGGATGTTTTTTTTTGTAAATGAGATACCTCAGTAATGACAGTTGAGGATGAACAAGGATTGTTTGTTGGTTTCGGATCTTAAGGCTCCATCCTTATTTGCCATGTGAACCTCTCTTCCCTGGGACATTCTTGTGAGATCTGGCCTCTACCACCAGGTTTCACCGTATCTGAAGTGCACCATCAGTATCTGTAATGAAAGACCCCGTAGGCAGTCTTGACAACTAGCAAACCACAGGCTCATGTGATCAACTGCCATGTTTTTTTCTCAATTTAGCCAAAGGAATGCCATCCATTGATCAACAGTGATGTGATATGGATGATGAATGATGATGATAACCAGCAACATCCACGGAGTACAAATAGACCACTGGTGCCATGGTCAAAATGTGGGTCAATTAGCCATATAGTGGGGTGGTCGTCAATCCAGTAATAATAGGGATTCAAAAAACCCTGATGAGGATTCCCAGTATGGGCTAGATCATCATAGGTTTCGACCATGGCACATATGTACTATAAGAATACCCTACCATTTTCATGTTGATTCTCCATGATTTGGTTTCAGTGGGATTCCTATGTAATTAAAGAATCCGCCTATTGTCAGTGCCTGATGTCCGGATTGCGCATTTAATGCCAATATATCCGATCGTGATCAAACAGAATCATCCAGGATAATCATCACTATCCCCAAGTCTCCTATAACTAATCAATCAGCTAAAGTTCACGATGTTTTACATGGTTTCTTTTGGCAACAAAAAACTAAAACCGTGGCAGGAGGGCAAGCGCCAGCGCATCACCTACTTCTGCCCCATGTGTCAACCGCACGAAGAAAGCCACAGCATCCCACGGTCGCATCGTTGCGAGATGCTGATAACCTTGACACCGTGTCACTGTGGGTTACAGCCAGCGGTCTTGCAAGCGACCTGGTTGCTGTTTGGGGGGTAAGCCGGTTATGGTTGTTCATGAAGATTCTCGGGTTATACGTGGCTATCCTTTGTATATAGTTATATAATTCACTTTATGGATTTAAAATCATGTTATTGATTATGTTAATGATGTTCATGTGGACATGCATACACATATGCGTGACATATATATATATATATATACACGCATTCTGTTCTGGAAAATATGATCATCTTGGGTTGCTATTGAAGATATAGGCAAAGGAGTTGGACTTTAATCGAACATTGGCTTTGACACATTTCATTTCCATAGACATGTTTTGCCGACAAAACATGTGTAAACCAGCTGACTGGTCAGCGGGGCACATAGCTACAAGCTACATCGCCAGCTCCACTTTGCTGGAAACTCCATGTATACATTCGTTATAGAGAACCTCAAACATAAAGATTTGTGGTTGGTTCTAATTCTCAAGTTGCTATATGTATGTAGTACAGATGATGTTTTGTCATGATTTCCAGGTTTATCAATGTTTGGGTTGCCATATCAATATTGACATCATTCATTTTGCATCTTTAGACTTTATAACATCAACATTTCATTTTACAAGTTTTTCATCACTATGAACTATTCATAACAAGAATCCGGTGTAAGGAGTTTATGAGGGATTTGCCCCAAGTTGTCTCTTCAATTTCAATCACTGCAGAGGTGCGCGCGGGGAACTATGCTGGTGCTTGGGACGATCGGAGGCCCTACCTCTCTTGTTCCAGAAGGCGGGCGTCGGCGACTTCGGATGAAGTCTCTTCCCAGGTCATCGTCGATACTGTGATATACTTTATTTACCCATTGAAGTCATTGAATAACTATCTACCAACCAGTGTAACAATGGGTAAACATGTATCTATACATATATCTAACTAATTTGTAACAATGTTTATTTACCCCCTATCTAACTATCTAGGCATAACATGTACTGCAATGGTGGCTATCAACCAGTGTAACAAACAGTTTCTGACTGAATAGGGCCCAGCGAAACCTTTGCGAGGTGGTGAACAACGTGGATAACTCAGTTGGTGAACAGATCTAATATAAGGGTTGAAGTGGTAGATGTATGGTAGACATATCTAGACTTCATGGATCTTAATTGGCTCTTGATAAGCAATGAGAAAAAAGCTGGAGCTGCAGCGCTTTGTAGAAGGCTTCGGCAGACTCCCTTGATGCTCGTTTTTTATCATCTGGATTCATGGATGAGCCTCCAATCAAACAATCCCCAAAATCTTTTTGTAGGGACTGGTTGCGGGAAACCGTTATGTTCCATGGATGAGAAACATGCTTTCATGCCAAGCGATCTCCATATCAATCTAGATTGAAAGGCGTTTTGCTCTGCCTTCCTGGCAAATCATAAGCGCAAATGATATTATGTCTGTGGGAAAAAACAACAGACACACAAAGGTAGTTAAGTCAAACATGGGTCATTACATAGTTGTGGCAGTTATAACTATGTTTGACTGGGAGTACCAAATTCCGAAATTGATGATCTTGTTGAATTCAGTACCAATCATTAGTTCATTAGCAGGTTCTATTCCCATTTATACAGATAATTTCCGATAATATCCGATAATTACATACATAGTATACGTACACAATATACATTCCGATGTAAGGAAACGATTACAGAGTAAATATATATATACCTCAATCTTCCTCATGTGTCGTTTTTCTGCCCCTCTGCTTTTTGACTCTGATGTCAGCCCCTCTGGGCAGTTTCAGCCCCTTAGAAATATTTCTGCCCCTTTGGTTTCCTGGAAGTTGCCAATCAAGAAGGATTTGCACACCAACACTCTGGTTCAGAAAAATCAATGATTTTACTTCATTTGTTTTGAAATCAGGCTACTCATGACTTTTGAGCTGCCCACGTATTTTTTTGTGCTTTTGATTTTTTGTGGGGTAAATCAGGCTACTCATGACTTTTGAGTTGCTCATGTTTTTTTTCTGGTTACTCATGACTCTTAGGCTGCCCATGATTTCTTGTAATTAGTTAGTTATCATTTGTTTAAAATAAGGCTACTCATGACTTTTGGGTTGTTCATGCTTTTATCTTTCATTTGTTGCTCATGACTTTTTAGTGTGTTTTTCTTAATAAAGGTTACTCATGATTTTTGAGCTGCTCATGTGTTTATTTGTTACTCATGATTTATTAGCTGCTCATGACTGCGTCGGGTTACTAATTGTTTTTTTGTTTAATAGGCTACTCGTGACTTTTGTGTTTCTTATGACTTTTGTTTTCGTTGCTCATGATTTTTTCTTATCTTTTGAAAGGCTACTTATGACTTTTGAGCTGCTCATGTTTTCTTCTCGGTTACTCATGACTTTCTGGCTGATCATGATTTTTTTTGTAGTTATGTTTTTTGTTTTTTTAATGAGGCTATTCATGACTTTTGGGTCACTCATGTTCTTGTAAATTGGCTACTCACGACTTTTGAGATTCTCATGATTTTTGTTTTTGTTGCTCATGTTTTCTTTTTTTTACTGTACCCATGACTTTTGAGTTTCTCATGTTTTTATATCCTGCTCATGTGTTTTTTTGACTCGGGCTGCTCATGACTTTTGAGTTTTTCATGTTGTCATTTGTTGCTCATGAGTTTTTGTTTTTTTTTAAGAAAACTGCTTACTCATGACTTTTAAGTTTGTCATGTTTTTATTTCCTGCTCACATTTTTTTTGGCAAGGCTACTCATGCCTTTTGAGTTTCTCATGTTGTCAGTTGTTGCTCATGAGTTTTATGTTTTTATCTATAAAGGTTACTCATGACTTTTGAGTTTCTCATGTTTTTGTTTCCTGCTCACTTTTTTGAATAAGGCTACTCATGCGCGTTTTTTTTTGATAGTAAGGCTACTCATGCCTTTTGAGTTTCTCATGTTGTCATTTGTTGCTCATGAGTTGTTTTTTTTCATGAAGGCTGCTCATGATTTTTGAGTTTCTCATGTTTTTATTTCCTGTTCATTTTTTTAAATAGGCTACTCATTTTTTTAGCAAGGCTACTCATGCCTTTTGGATTTCTCATGGTGTCATTTGTTGCTCGTGAGTTTTTAGTTGTTTGCTTTGTGTTTTTTTTTATTGGCTACTCATGACTTTTGAGATTCTCATGATCATTGTTTTTTGTCGCTCATGAGTTTTTATGTTTTTTTTCCTAAATGAAGGCTTCTCATGACTGTTGAGTTTCTCATGTTCTAATCTCATGTGTTTTTTTTTTTTTAAGTAGGGCTTCTCATGACTTTTGAACTTCTCATGTTGTCATTTGTTGCTCATGAGTTTTTAGTTTTTCAATTGGCTACTCATGATTTTTTAGTTGCTCATGTGCTTTTTGTTACTCATGATTTTTTTTAAGCTGTTCATGTTTTTTTGGGTTACTCATGTTTTTTTGCCTTTAATAGGCTACTCATGACTTTTGAGCTGCTTATGATTTTGTGCGGGTTTCTCATGTATTTTTTTTAAATCTTCATGACTTGTGGGTTTCTGATTATTTTATTTGTTGCTCATGACTTTTTATGTTTATTTCTTTTCTAAAGGCTGCTCATCAATCACTTTTGAGCTATTCATGGCTTTGGATCCCATGACCGGGTATTTCCGCCCCTTAGACGGGTATTTCCGCCCCTTAGACGGGTATTTCCGCCCCTTAGATTTTGCTCATGCATGAACAAATTGATTCTGCACTCATGAGCAGCTGCTCATGCACGAGTACCCCTATATGAGCAGCTGCTCATGAGTGTCATTTCTTTTGCACATGAGGCACATGAGTAGCTGTTCATGAGTATGATGGTTTTCTGAGTAAGGCTACTCACGCCTTTTGAGTTTCTCATGTTGTCATTTGTTGCTCGTGAACTTTTATGTTTTTTTTAGGCTACTCATGACTTTTGAGTTTCTCATGTTTTTTTTAATTTCCTGCTCATGTTTTCTTCTTTTTTAATAAGGCTACTCATGTGTTTTTTTTTAGTACGGCTACTCATGCCTTTTGAATTTCTCATGTTGTCATTGTTGCTCATGAGTTTGTAGTTTTTTCTTTTAATAAAGGCTACTCATGACTTTTGAGCTTCTCATTTTTTCTATTTCCTGCTCATGTGTGTTTTGCAGTAAGGCTACTCATGCCTTTTGAGTTTCCCATGTTGTCATTTGTTGCTCATGAGTTTTTTTATGTGTTTTTTGTCAAAGAGGCTACTCATGACTTTTGAGTTTCTCAAGGTTTGATTTCCTGCTCATGTGTTTTTTTGTTTTTTTTTAGTAAGGCTACTCATGCCTTTTGAATTTCTCATGTTGTTAATGGGTTCTCAAAAGTTTTTAGATTTTTTTTTGATAAAGGCTACTCATAACTTTCGAGATTCTCATGATTTTTGTTTTTGTTGCTCATGATTTGTTTTTTTCAAGGCTACTCATGACTTTTGAGTTTCTCATGTGTTTATTCCCTGCTCATTTTTTGGTGGTTTTAGCAAGGATACTCATGACTGTTGCATTTCTCATGTTGTCATTTGTTGCTCATGAGTTTTTAGTGTGTGTTTTTTTAATTGGCTACTCATGATTTTTGAGCTGCTCATGTGCTTTTTGTTACTCATGATGTTTTTTTTTAGCTGTTCATGATTTTTTGGGTTATATACTCATGTGTTTTTGCCTTTAATAGGCCACTCATGACTTTTGAGCTGCTCATGATTTTTTTTTGGTTACTCATGAGTGCTTTTTTGCACATGAGTAGCTGCTCATGCATGAGTACCCCTATACGGGCAACTCCTCATGAGTGTTTTTTTTGCACATGAGGAGCTGCTTATGCATGAGTACCCCTCTTTATGAGCAGCCGCTCATGAGTGTTTTTGCACATGAGCAGCTGCTTATGCATGAGTACCCCTCTGAGCAGCTTCTCATGAGTGCCTTTTTTTCACATGAGTAGCTGCTCATGCATGGGTGCCCCTATATGAGCAACTGCTCATGATGTTTTGTTTGCACATGAGTAGTTGTTCATGCATGATTAGCCCTATAAGGTAGCAATTGCTCATGAATGAATGACCCTGAAGCTACCAATGAATGAATGCCCAAATCTTGCTCACGCAGTAATACCCCAACCTCTAACAAAACCACCGGTTTAAAACTATATAGTGTTTCTGGGTATAAAAGCTGTTTATGACTGAATACTGATTCTGCTTTCTGCATTTAACGCATGAATACTCCAAATTCGAATGCCCCAGGAAGTACTTAATTATCAGACTTTTGCGCTTGGCAGCAGTTTATACTATGATGCCATATGATACCTAAATTCTGGTCACACCCTGTGGAGTCTTCTGGTGCCCCTGATGTGTTCATGAGGAAAATTTCAAATTGAACCTTTACTTAGCAACTTGATCAAAACCAAGTTTAATTGGCAGAGGATACATCCCAGCCACCCATGATCAGGATTGCTACATTTTGCTGTTCAAGACCTGAGTATGGAGTGATCCAATTTGTCCCAATTACATCTTATCTGGATGCCAACATGGTCAAAACCATGAACACAATGATTTCAGCCCCTGTGAAACAATTCCACCCCTTAAATGCCAGAGGCTCTTTTCCCCTTAGGGGCTAAAATTATGCATGCCCCGGAGGTTCTAGGTATATATAAACATAAACACATGAGTATATTATACCTGGTTCCTTCGCATGTTTTTTTTCCGCAATGACTGAAAAAATCGTCAACAGGTGGTATGTGCCTGTTTCATCTTGACTGAACATAAGTAGCATTTGATGGAAACAAAACATGTCAATTTGATTCACTTTGGGCCAAAGTTGGCCAAAGACGCACTTAACCCGACAATTCGCCAGAAAAATGCCAAAAAATACTGATAAAAACCTAATAGAATCCCAAATGTTTTTTCAACTTCACGCGCGTTAGTTAACAGACCGTATTTTGGTTCTTCAGATCGGGCCTTCAATCGAACCAACACACCCGTAATGACAAAAAACGTGTCAACCCCGAACGATGGAAAAAACAAAAACTGGCTTTTGGGTTCCCAGGTGTATATATATATATATATATATATATAATGAATAGATAGACATATTTCCCATGGGTTGTTGGCTCATCCCCTCGATCTCAGGCGTGGCAGCCGTTACGACGATGGCGGCTGCGGCCTTCCTGGCCCCTGGGATGGCTGCGGCTTTCACGTGTGGCTGGACGACGTGCACACGATGCCGGAGTGTCACTGCAAGACGCTGCGCGTTGAGACTGGTGGAGTGGGGAACCCCCGGGTGAGAACTGCCGAGCTGATACTGATACGGTGTTTTACCATGTAAAACCAACAAGGGATGAAATATATGTGGGCTGTATGTATGTGTATATATATATATATTTACATATTATATACATGACTAAGTATGTCTCTACTTATATAAATTACAATGTGTTTTGTGTTTTAATGTAAGTTGTCTCTACTTATATAAATTACCATGTGTCTTGTGTTTTAATGTAGGTTGAAAAATACAACCTGTGGCTGTTAGGTGAGCAATGTGGTGAAATCAATATCCATAATATATATATATATATACACAGATTTTCACATATGCAGTACCATATGTTTGCTTTCAGTGTGTTTTTCCGATTTGAAAATGTACCAGTAGCGTTTTATTACATATGCAAAGATGACGATGAAGACAAGTTACTGCACTCCTGGGAATATCGCATAGTATTGCCAAGAATAATGCAAACTTGTTTGTCGTAAATGCTGGTTATATGCCGTTTGAACTGGGATCATCATCCACTTATATATAATAATTATTCATTAATTTGCTAGAATTTGTTATATATATAATATATAATACTTTTAAGAACCTTTTAAGATTGGTTAAAATATGTTGAAACATGTTGAGACCACTAACCAGACCAGGGGTTACCGGTACCAAACCAGAACCGAGGACATAATTTTCCTGTTTCATGAAGTGGTGAATCATCCGTAAGAAGAGCCTGCAATTCTGACTATGCTGAAGGTGAAGGCATTGGGTAGATACACAGATGTTGGTTTCATGCGTGTTTGATGCGTCATCTTTAATTATGACTGACTGGTTTGATATGTCTATTTTCTCAGAAGCCGTGCGAACGGGAGGTTAACTCCTGGCATGGACCAAGATAATCCAAGATACACATTTTGTTCGAAAGTAATTTTCAATTTGGCTTTGGTTTTGGAAAACACATTGCTTCATAAAAAATCTTTGTACCAAAATCATTTTGGTTCTTAGAAACACAAAAAGCAAAGGTAGGTTTTGGAGAAACCATTTCTAGAGTTATAACTAGTTAGCCAGAGTTAGCAATTCAAGCTAATAATTATATAACTCATCTTAACTAACTTAACTTCTTACAACAAAACCAGGATTTCAAGTAGAGGACATCGGCAGAATGCGGGATTGAACAGTGTTGAAGATCTCCCCATGTCCTGTAATACTTTGAATGTGAACATCAGGGTACCAGATCTTTTCAAAACAAAACATGCCACCAAGTCAAAGTGTGGAGGAAGCCCGCGCTGCTGCGCCGCGTGGTGGGACTGCGTGAGAACGGCCGCCACTTCCTGCGTTGCGCACAGCGCGGCGCAGGTGGCTGCCGCTTTCGCTGTTGGTTGACCTTCAACGTCCCGGTCCCACAGCGGCGCTGGCGCCGTGGTGCGGCCGTCAGGGTGGAAGGAGGTGAGCAAAGAGCACTGGAGGAGGCGTCGACGGGTGATTTTTTTACATCCTTTTGCGGTGTTGGGAGCAACCCTGTGTTTTATCAACCAATGTTGTAAGGCTTGTGAGGTATTTGGATTCAACGAACCCCCCAAATCGCGAATCTTAAGCAGCTGGTACTGAAGGGGGTTCACCTGTGGAGGTGATTGAGTTCCATCCCTTCCAGGACAGCTCCTCCCCCGAGACCTCCTCAAGCGAAAAGGGCGATGTCACGGAAGGCACGACTTCAAAAAGAACGGCGTTCACAGCGGCTGGATACAAAACCAAACGTTGGCTCACCCGATAACAGCCCCGGGGCTCGTCCCGATAGCAGCCACCTGCAGGTTGCTTGGACTTGAGAGATCTTTGTTACGTACGTGTTGGGTCCCACAATGACGGGAAAATGAAAAGGCAGCAGGCTTCTGCAGGGACTGTAGGGCGTATGTATTCATCAGAAAAATGTGTGCAGAGCATTGCAGAGCATGTTTCGATGTCTCTACGTGTTATCATTTCATGAAGTCTTTTTTTATCATCAGATCATGAAGCTCTGACATTTCCAGCCGCCAAGACGTTGGGGATCAAGGTTTCAGCTACCAAATTTCAGCAGATGATGTGATGAAGCTCCAAATCCTGGTGCCGTCCAAGTCCTGACCCATCCTGACCCAAAATGCTGCAGATCCAGATCTGTCCTGGGCAGCTGAAAGAACTTGGAGCGAGTTGCTCCAGTATTTGATTGCCAAAGTTGAGGTGAAATTGAGAGACGCATTCAGGCTGACTAGTCAACACTTCAGGCCAGCATTTGGCCTCGTTAGACTTGATCCAGCTTGACGCTTTTATATCCAGCTTGACGCTTTTGATCAGATTGCAGGAGAAAACCAACATTGCGGAGTTTCCATTGTTGCACTTTTCTAGTGGTTTCACATATATGTGTGTTTTATCCTTGTTTGATATCATTGGTATAGACTCTTGATGGCGAAGTGCCCGATCCAATGCCAGACTTCACTGCGAAAAAGAGTGACGTCCGACCCGCTACTGGATGTACAGGATGTTTCTATATATATATATATATATGTTTGTTTCGTTGGCGGCACGCTGTGCTATGTCCACCTTTTCGTTGATGATGATTGTCCAGCGATTTGTGCATATTTCTGCTTACTGCTTGCATTTTCCATGTGTCATATATTATATTGTCATACAATGTTCATGATTCATGAATATGTTCAATTTGTTTTTTTCCATTTGCATCATTTGTTTCTTCCCATGTGCATCATTTTTTCAGGCTGTTTCTTATCATTTTGGTGTTTTCAGCTGGTGTATTCCCCCGGGTTCCACCGGTTTCCCATGGGTTTCCCAGGTCACCTCCTCCTCCATCTGCTGTGGATCGCTCCAGTAGTGTGCTATGGCAGGTTGAAACTGGGGAGAGAGGTAGCGGAAAAATGGGAACACGAACCAGAGTCAGCTAAGTTGATTTCTGGCTGGTGGTTTCAAAATTGTTTATTTTCCACAATATATGGGATAATCCTTCCCATTGACTGATATTTTTCAAGATGTTTAAAACCACCAACCAGTATGTATATATATACATATATATATATACATATATATATATATATGTATATATATGTATATATATGTATATATATGTATATATATATGTATATATATGTATATATATATATGGATTTGCGGTAGAAATTTATTTAGGTAGTCATATATCTTAATTTATTGATATATCTATTGTGAGATGGGTTTATCAACCAACTTGCAAATGGGGTGCCCTCCATTGCAGCAATCACGGGGATGATATGGTAACGCTACCATGAGGTTTCTGGCAAAAGGTGGTTTTACCAGCACTGGAGATTTTACTGACAATGCATTTGGTTTCACTGGCAAGCAATGGAGTCTAAGTACCGACTATGGTTTTTTTTCCAAACCTGAGGGATACAGTACAAGCACAAACTTGCAACTTTAATGTGGATCATGAGGTTGGTAACAATCTGATTTTGGGTTTGCAGACAACTCCAAATCTTCTGCCATAGTGCATCGTAACAATCTCTGATTTGTTGTTGCTTGCAAATAAGTTGTTGGAACTCTCATGAAATCATCATGTTTACAGCAGTTTTGCAGGACTAGCATTGTGTGTGTTGGAGAAATCCCTCTTGTTCTGCATTCTTAATGTGTATGTACATATATATATATATATATGTATATATATATATACATATCTTTTTTTTGTGTGATCATTTCACCCCAGAAAGCGTGTTTAATGTGTTTAATATAACTTATAACCATGTGCAGGAACACTACAGTATATTTCTGGTAAATCTATGGTTTCCACTTCAGGTTTTCCTTAGCTAAGGCGCCAGAGCTGGCAAATCAGGGTGACTTGGAGAACAGATTGGCTGAAGAATCCCATTCCCCTCTAAGGGCGCCTGATGTGGCTTTGTCATGGTTGAATCCCATCAAATTGGGGATACACCATCAATGTCGAGATCCGAAGTATCCCTATCGCTCCATGGCTCCATGTGGGGCATTCTATGCCTTGTATGGCATACAATGTCAGGCCCCCGTTCGATAGCGTTCAGTTGGTGCAAATAACTCCAATAACTATATGGTTTATGGATGTTTATGGTACGCAAATAACTATAGTTACTGGGGCGAATCTAAACCAACTTATAACTGGGGGGCCTCACATTGTATGGCATCAGTCAGTATCTCTCTGGGAATGTCATGTTATTGCCATAGCAGGGTGGGCAGGGACCATGGTTGATAAGTTTTAATCCCAGATCTGCGAGGTGGGGGGTCCTAGTCATAAGATGTTATAAGTTGGTTTATAAACCCCACTGGGTACATATTATATATTGCAAATATCATACATATCAGCCCCGTATCAGCCCCTCCTTATGGAAATTGTTGTGTGGAATGGTCAGTAGTTTGATATGTCTTGTCTGGATTTGGAGCACTTGCGGTTGGTGACATGACTGCAAATTCGACATGGCTCATTTTCCCTGATTTTTTTGCATATATCGGAATGTATTGTGTTCCTCCCTCTTTCAGGTCAAAGTGAATGTTCTGATGATTTGCTTGTTGATAGCCCCAATCATTTGTTGTTTGATATGTCCAAATTCATTTCTAGATGGTTTACCTATTCATAGCATGGTGATATTCCATGGCTATGTTAGTCATAACCAGGTGGTATTTATCGAACTTTTCAGGTTGCCCTGGTTGCCAACCAGGTGGCTTCACGTCTCCATGACAAAATGACCATGGTCAGCTTGTCCACCAGGACAGAACTCCCAATGCCAATGTGGGATAGACGACCAGATAAAAATAAATGCAGGCAAACATGTAAAAAACTAGTTGGTTTTTCTCCACCTGCCAGGTGAGGGTTGTTAGATTTTATCAGAGTTGTTCTTCTCCTCCTCGCTAGCTGTCCTCCACTGCCTCCTCCTCCTCCGCCTTCTCCTTGTCCTCCTCCTCCTCCTTCTCCTCCTCCTCCGCCTCCTCCTCCAGTTTCTCCTCCACCACCTCTGCCTCCACTTCCATGTCCACTTCCGCCTTGCCAACTCTCCGCCAAGCTCTTTGCCAACTTCCCAGCTCAGTGGGCACCGCTGGACCTCAACCTGCGAGCTGCCCAGCTCAGTGTGCACCGCTGGACCTCAACCTGGGAGCTGCCCAGCTCAGTGTGCACCGCTGGACCTCAACCGGGGACCTGCCCAGCTCAGTGTGCACCGCTGGACCTCAACCGGGGACCTTCCCAGCTCAGTGTGCACCGCTGGACCTCAACCTGGGACCTGCCCAGCTCAGTGTGCACCGCTGGACCTCAACGGCCAGATAGAATGCCAGAAGATATGCCAGATGGAATGTCAGATAGAATGCCAGAAGATATGCCAGATAAAATGCCATGAGATATGCCAGATAGAATGCCAGAGGATATGCCAGATAGAATGCCAGAAGATATGCCAGATAGAATGCCAGAAGGTATGCCAGATAGATTGCACAATAAAATGTCAGATAGAATGCCAGAAGATATGCCAGATAAGGTGCCAGACTGTTTGCCAGATAGAATGCCAGAAGATTTGTCAGATGACTCAGATGATATGCCAGAAGATATGCCAGATAGGATGCCAGATAGAATGCCAGAAGATATGCCAGAACATATGCCAGAAGATATGCCAGGTAGAATGCCAGAAGATATGCCAGATCGAATGCCAGAAGATATGTCAGATAGAACGCCAGATAGAATGTCAGATGCAGAAGATATACCAGATAAAATGACAGAAGATATGCCAGATAGAATGCCACAAGATATGCCAGATAGAATGCCAGAAGGTATGCCAGATAAAGTGCCAGAATGTTTGCCAGGTAGAATGCCAGAAGATTTGCCAGATAGAATGCCAGATAGAATGTCAGAAGGTATGCCAGAAGATATGCCAGATAGAGTGCCAGAAGATATGCCAGAACATATTGCAGAAGACATGCCAGGTAGAATGCCAGAAGATATGCCAGAAGATATGCCAGATAGAATGCCAGAAGATATGCTAGATAAAATGCCAGAAGATATGTCAGATAGAATGCCAGAAGATTTGCCAGTAACAAAACGTATAAATGTCATGGTGGGGAAAACTCGAAGCAAAGTAATTAATATGCCATTCATATGCCAATGATATCATATGCTCGTTAAATCCCATGATATTCCCATTGAATGGTCGGTGAAATCCCATGATATACCCTCTGTGAGTTTGCCCCAGGGTACGTGGTACGGTGGATGGGCCAGCGAAATCATGCAGTTGAAAACGGTGGTTTAATTATCCCATGATTTTTATAGGAGTTCAACAATCCTTTTGGTGCAGGATTTTTTCCATCCACAGTATCTCTGTTTAGTAATGGATTCTTTCAGACTTCGTGGAGCCATTTGGCGCCTGAGGCAGCCGACTGGATTATGTCAACCGTTTGCGGCGCGAAGTCTCCGGTCTGTGGCCTCAGGAAACGAAAAAACCGCTTTGTTTGAAGCCTCGGGGATAGCCTCAGATGAGACAAGGCTATATATACCCTCTCGTAATTAACATAGACCCTGAAAATAAGCAATTTTTAGTGGAAACGAGTCTTCCAACCCCTATCTGCCAGGGTCTATGTTAATTTGCCGGAAGGTAATGAATGTTAATATATTTTAATTTATGTTAATGGTTGAAAATACCCAATCAACTAGCCTCTGGTTAGTTCACATAGCTACGGTACAGATTGCCCATTTTTAGATGATACCCATGGCGATTTACCGTTTTTAGACATGGTGAATTTCCAGTTCGCTACATTGAAATTACCAGAGGCTACTATCATGGGATATATGTTGTGACCAACTGGATATTATACCTGGGTGTGTATGAAACTGGGGAATACCCTCAAATTGCAACAATGCTGATAATCCATGCGGCTTTGGGGTACCTAGTTTCAACTAAATCCATATATCTGAAACATTGTGAAACCATACTGATCTGTTGGATTTGGTCCTCAAAAAAAAACAAAAGGGGTGCTTAACACTGGATGTGCCATCATGTAGTTCAACATAGTTATGGACGATTGTCCGTTTGTAAGTGATTTACCTGTTGAAGATTGTGATTTTCTGATAGCAAACCGTTGAACTACCAGGAGCTATCCAAATGTGTGGAACTTATTGCATCTGCTTCCAAAATTCCAATAGTGCTGTGATTTTCTGAAGGTATCTTTTAAACTTCCCAAGGTGGGTTTCTAAGGTCAGGGGACTAGCGTGCTGATATTGTGGATGAAACGATGTGAGATAAACTGTTTTAAACTCTCTATATGATCTATGTACGTTTGATTACGTATGTATATTCTATAATATTCTATATATATATATTTATAATTGTACATCATCACAATACATTGTTACATAGTGTTTCGTGGAGAACAAGGGAAACCCCGTGAGATCAGCCCAGCTCAATAGAAAGTTGTTGCGGCTACAGTTCCAAGCTTGTTGTAGGATGTCTTTAGTTCCTTTTTAACCTACGGTAAACTAACATAGATGTAGAAAACTCGCGGTTTCCCTAGGAAAACAAAGCCGCAAATGGTGGGTTATCCACACCTATGTCAGTTATACGGTAGGATATTTTTGGTTAACTACACTTTGGTAATTTGTTGCATTGCTACGGAAAGTTGCCAGTTATATAGTTCGATGGTCTGATAATAAGGCCTAGATTGATGGTTCATTGTCAATTTATCTATGTAGATTGGGAATTATGATAACCCATGATAGGGAAAGCTATCAACCACCTAGTATACTCAGATGGGATACAATCCCAATCGAAGTATTATAATTTTATTATAATCCCAATAAATGCCCGATATTTTCCATGACAATCCCAACATTTTCCATGCAAAATCACAATTGTATTATACTATGACAATATCCATGAGGTGGATATTCGATTCTTCTCCATTAATCATTTTGTTACAGTTGTCATCACCATACTATCCGTTATTGACAATAAATATTATCATTTTCCCCATTATTGATAATGACATTGTGACATGCCCTTATAAGTTGTAACTTATATCGCTATTATCCATATCATATATTTTTACGTCCATTAGTATCCCAATACTATCCATTACAATCCCAATATTATCCATTAAAATCCACATAGCACCATAATATAAGTTTATGTCTATCATTATTTCCATAATATCACCATAGTGAATTACCACAAATGCAATATTACCACAATAACATAATGATATCACCATTCAATTCACACTATCATCATCCTATCACCATCCTATCATAATCCTGATTTGGAGGTTTCCAATCGATGGGGGTACCCGGTACCCTAAATCATCCATTTATAGATGGGCTTGTCCCATGAAATAAACCCTCCAGCGATCAAGGGGTACCACAATTTATGGAAACCCCCATATCACCATCATCATCATCATCATCATCGTCATCATCATCATCATCATCATCCAGATATGACTATTGTATTCTATCATCAATTTACACTATGATTGTTATTTCCAGTATATCACCATCCTATCACCATCCTATCACCATCCTATCACCCTGTCGTGGTCCGAGACGCTTGCGCCGCCTGAGGCCTGCGCCACAGTGACACCCTGCCGGACGAGGACGAGCTGCGTTTCGCCCGCAGCCTGGATGAGGCGGGAAACTCGGGGGGTTGGGTGAGATTTGGGGATAACTTACAGGATGATTTTAGGACGATTCAAGATGATTTGGCATGATTTAGGATTTAGGATGATTGAGGATCATTTCGGATGATTTGGGGTGATTTAGGCTGAATTAGGATGATTTGGGGTGAATTGGGATGGTTTAAATATGGTTTAAGCTGGTTAAGAAGATTTAGGATGATTCAGCATGATTGAGGATCATTTAAGATGATTGAGGATGATTTACGACGGTTTAAAATGGTTTGAAATTATTGATCTAGGATGATTTAGGATGATTGAGGATTAATTGGGATAATTTAAAATGACTTGGGATGTCTTAAGATGATTTCAGCTTGAAAAGTCATGATTTCACTTGATGATTTATTGTGAGCGCTTCCGATCTTATATTTTCCATGGTACCACAAAGTACTGTAAAGGAGGATTTTTTCCCCCAATATTGCGATCATGTCAGGTTCGCAACATACATATCCATTTACCCCGATCATAGTTAGGAGTTAATGGGCAGTCATGAAACTAAAATTATGAATCTTTGCGTGTTTAAGTGGTATAAAATGCAACCTTCTTTGGGATCTCATCTGACACAGGAAGCAAGTGACGGTGGTCTTGACGACATGTCATCGACCCGATGGCCCATCTTCGCACGGTGCATGGGTGAAATAGGGGGGTTCCATAAACCTCCAGCGAACTAGCATATACGCTCCGCAAGTCGAAACTATGGCAACGGGACGCATTTACAATAGAATCAATAGATATCAATAGATATCAATAGATATCAATAGATATCAATTTACCATATTTACAACCACATTTACATTTATAAGAATGTGAGGTGAGACTCCACTGCCCTAGATTTCTGAGGATCATGTGTCCCCTTCCGGAGGCGTTGCGGAATGCGGCTGCAAAACAGGTCCTGCCGGTGTTGTGGAGAGGATATGTTGGCTGTTTGTGACTCAAAGTGTTTGGTAGGATACCCATACAAATTAGTATGTTGCGCTCAAACACCACAAGACATTGATAAATTTTGGCAGTTGTTGTTACAATTGCCTATGTTGCCTTTTGCTTCGCAAGTTTCAACCGTGTTGCTGCGTTTCCATATGATGTCCATACCTGGGATAGGGTGAACTGGGAGATGTCACAAAACAGGGCTTCATGATTTAAGATTGATTAGGGTTATGACCATTGTGTCTATAACATATATACATATATATATACATGTATATGACGGTATATTCCTGTATATATATATAATGTATGTGTATATATATATATATATATTATACCTATTAGACATAGCCTGCACCCACACCCACTATCATTGGGCAATGACAGCTTGATAGGAAACCACAAAGATGAGGGTGATGGTGGTTATTGTGAGTGGGTGACAGCTATGATGTCCAAGATTGTCCAAGATATATTTATTATCATGTTTGCATGAATACAAACTGTATATATTTATATGTAATGAATACACATGCAACCCAAGAGGTTGAGGCGTGTCCTGAACTTGGGTTCTGCATAAGGTTCTGTGTCTGGAGAAGATGTTTTTTCCCCACCTGCCAGGTGAGGGTTGTTAGATTTTATGTCAGTTGCCTCCTCCTCCTCCTGCCTCGTCCTCCTCTCGTCCTCCTCTCCTCCTCCTCCTCTCCTCCTCGTCCTCCTCGTCCTCCTTGTCATCCTTGTCGTCCTTGCTCAACTGCGACCCGTCGATCCACAGTGTTCTCTGCCGGACCTCAACCACGACCATCCACGCCCAGTGTTCCCTGCCGGACCTCAACCACGACCATCCACGGACCTCACGACCATCCGCGCCCAGTGTTCCCTGCCGGACCTCAACCACGACCATCCGCGCCCAGTGTTCCCTGCCGGACCTCAACCGCACCATCCGCGCCCAGTGTTTCCTGCCGACCTCAACCGCGAGCCCACGCCAAGTGTTCCCTGCCGGACCTCATGTAGGAAGATATGGGACAAGAATGTGCAGAAGAAAGTTAGAAAGAATGTCAGAAGAATGCCAGAAAATATGCCAGAAGATATGCCAGATAGAATGTCAGAAGATATGCCAGAAGATATGCCAGAAGATATGTCAGAATATATGCCAGAAGATATGTCAGATAGAATGCCAGATAATATGCCAGAAGATATGCCAGATAGAATGCCAGAAGATATGTCAGATAGAATGCCAGAAGATATGCCAGATAGAATGCCAGAAGATTTGCCAGATAGAATGCCAGAAGATATGCCAGAAGATATGTCAGAATATATGCCAGAAGATATGCCAGATAGAATGCCAGATTGAATGCCAGAAGATATGTCAGATAGAGTGCCAGAAGATTTGCCAGATAGAATGCCAGAAGATTTGCCAGATAGAATGCCAGAAGATATGCCAGAAGATATGCCAGATCATATGCCAGAAGATATGCCAGATAGAATGCAAAATAGAATGTCAGAAGATATGTCAGATAGAATGCCAGAAGATTTGCCAGTAAGAAAATGTATAAATGTCATGGTGGGGATCACACGAAGTAAAGTAATTGTTATTTGATGGCCCTATCTTCATATTTAGGTTTATGTCGGCATGTCATTTCTTTTGGGGTAAATGAGGAAGTACATGTTGATAAAGACAAACTACACATGTACGATCTGAGTCCACTTCCGTTGTTCTGTTTGTTTAAGCAGGTCCTCCACTCCACCATTTTCCTTGCTGGCGCGGTCAGATGTCCTTGGTTCAGCGGTGGTACAAGACCGAAGTGGCTTTAGGCTGGAGTTCTTGCTGCTTCTCCCACCTCAAGTGAGCAAAGTTCTTCTGACCCCTGGTGATGAGTATAGCTGATGACTATTTGTTGGATGCACAAGTTTTTTGGGAATTACTAAATTCAACTGAGCTATAGCAATTGCTTTTCAAAATTGTCAATGTGCGAATTTGCCGGGGTAGCCTAAGAGTTCATGTGGATTAACCCTGCTTGTGTCAATGCACCTGGCTGGCATTGTTCTTCCACTTGGTTCTATCAGTATGAGAGGATCCGATGTCCTTTGCATCATCTCTTCATGGTTGGACCACGTGATATCTCTTTGATTCAAACCGGAGGTTGACCTTTTGCACCGGATATGTTTCATAGTGGTTTTGTTTGGTACCTATCTGTGCCTGTCTCTGTCAAGTGTGGCTACTGTACTATCTAGATCTAAGACACCATTTTTGGTACATCCTATCTTCTTTTTCTGCGGAGAATGGGAAGTCACATGAAGTCAGCATTTTAATCCTGGTACGTTGGCAACTGGTGACAAAACTGGATACCCAAACCTTGAATCATTCCCACCACAGGTGCGCCGAACTTGATTTCCTCGGCGCGTGGTGACGGTGCGCAGTGGATGGGTGGCTTTTAATCAATGGAACCGGAAACGGTAGCAAAAAACACGGGAAGACATTTCCAATAAACGATCGGAAATTTGAAGATTTCTTTCGATTTGACTTTCGGATCGTTTAGGATGTTTGTAGATTTGTCAGATTGGAAACAACACAGCTTTGATTTTTCCATGCTGATTGAAACAACAACAAACTTCGAAATATGCTGAATCCACCTACTATTGCCTTTTTGCCTTCGAAGTTTGCTCCATGCAGGGGAGGACCTAGGCGCTGCTGATGCAGTGGGGAAGCACAGTGGAGGGAGGAAGCGAGGTACCAACCAAAGGCTTTGTCAAACAACAGATGTTTTGTTATTTTGTTTTAAGTTCTTCAATTGTTCAAGATTTCTTTAACGTTTCGTCTTGAAAAGTGTGTTTCTAAGTACCCCTGAATCGAACAATGATGGCCACAGATTGTAAAAACCGGCCATGTTTGGACGGTGCTGGGGGTCTCACCCACAATGCCAACTGAGATAGAGTAGAAATGTGTAGAAGATTGAACGACCCAGATGATGGGATAATATATTACAATCATATATATATATATAATAATATATATAATCATATATATATATAATCATATATAGAATCATATTTATTAATATATATATAATCATATATAGAATCATATATATAATCATATATAAGTGTCAACTTCCCAAACTTTCCAGGAGATGGGCGGAGACGGGCTCTTGAAGGATCGTTTTATGATCATCCCATTGCAATTGGTGAACCTTGTGACCCTTAACAGCCTCAATAAGAATCTTGATGTGTCTTGTGTACTTTAACAAGTACCCCAATAAGCGGGAATGTCCCACTTCCTCGCGCATTCCTAAGTGGGGTGACCCTCTTGCAGAATCTTTGGGCAGTGAACATGTCATGGTCGAGGGAAGGAAACGGGACTCCTTACCCCAAGAACCCCATGACAGAGACAAACCAGACTTAAATTTATGATGTTCATGGCTATAAATATATATATATATATATGACATTATGTACATACCTACCTACAGTACGTTCTGTTGCATTGCATTACATTCCATTTTATTACATTGCATTGTATCACATCACATTACACTCCATACATGTAGATAGGTTATTTTGCACTTCACCAGTCATATGTGGATTTGCCATCATCTTGAGATAAGAGTTATTTGGTTGCAAGTACATGGTACCTTTGAAAGTTGGTTGGAGCATGTGAGACCTAGATTCCTTGATGATCAGTACCCTGGGCCCTAAGCTGGCATCATTATTTGGCTTGTGGTCTTTGAATTAGGGATGATGATCCTGATTCACTACTTTAAAACTTACAGAAGCAACATATGTATGTACATACATATACATACACATGAATTGATATGAATTATACATACATATATATATATATAAATAATTGTACATATATACTTATATAAATATAATTATATATATAAATTGTATGTATATTACATGTAGTATAAATAGTCAATATAGTATATATATATATATGTTACATTAAACAAAAAACATATGCACATCTACATTTTTTTGGGGGGATTGGTTGGAACCTCCAACCTACGAGGCTGTGGCTGCCTGGGTACGACTGATCCCCCAGGGTCGTGGCTTGATCGTGCCGTGGCGAAGTCCAGAACGGCGGAGGACAAAGCTATGGGAAACCCATGATTTACTATTTGAAAATCACCATTTTCAATGGGTAAATCCACTATAGCTGGTTGGTGGTTTGGAACATGTTTCATTTTTCTATATATTGGGAATAGTAACCCAAACTGACTCAACTGACTAATGTTTTTCAGAGGGGTTGAAACCACCAACCAGTTTATGTTGATTAATGATGATTAATGATGTTAAAGTACTACTGTAAAGGTTTTTTTTGAGTGTTAGAATTATACAGTAATAATTCAAGATTCAAGATACTCATTAATGTATGTAGTTAGTAAGAGTTGATTATCGGATGAATCAGATGGATATTAGATAAGTATTTACGATTGTGGATCTAGAATTATCAATATCTTCGCTGATCCGCAGCCACAATGATTAGTCATCCATCAGTATGCACTTTGAAGATTGCGTATAATAAAATCCACTGAAGATGCTTGAAGTATGTGAAATCCCAAATTCTTGTGTCGTGTGTATTATGTATGTATATATATATACACATATTGTGTTGGTTTCCATCAATCCCAATATCAGCTAGTATACAATATTGGGATTTTAGATGTATATGGGATTTTAGATGTATATGTTTCATTGATCGTCCCAATTTTATCCCATCCCAACATTGGCCCAGCATCAATTTTATAGATTGATCATCCCAATTATGCTGGATACAATGATTATTGAAACAATATATTGATAGTAGAACTGGATGATTATCTGCATATTCACTAGTATACGTTTATATTTGTATACATATCAATTCAATTGTATACATTGTATACAATGATTGCCATATATTCTGATCATGATCAATTTTATACATTATAAATCATTAGTAAGCATTTGTATACATATCAATCATCAACAAACATCTATAAATGGACCATGTTCCATAGCTATCTTATATAAATCACCAGAGGGTATTGTATATGTTTATTGATCATCCCAATGGAACATGTTCAAACAAGCGACGACCTCCGAGGTGCTCCAAGACGGTTTCGAATACATCACCCGGGATGGCCCTAGGCGGCGCCAGATTTTGGGGGTTTTAATCGTGATTTTCATGGTGATTCACCATTGAACTATAGTTCCATTAATTAATAATGGTTAGCTAATGGTGATGTTCATGGAACAAAAAAAGCCGGTGTCATCAAACATGGTTTGCTTAAAAATCCTCCATTTGAGCAAACTAAACCTCCTTAGTTCAGAGATTTTTCAGCGTGCCACGTTTGAGCACCGAAAAGAAAACATGGATTGGTAGGAACTGATGAATCTTAATTACGGTCAAACACATGGAACAACTGAATACTTCTGAGTGAGCAACATGTGGGGTTGCATTGAAAAAATGAACGGGGTAATGAAAGTCCATAAACAGCAACTAAGTGTCTAAGAGCAACTATTTTTGGTGCTAAAACCACTCTACCAGGGTTTGAGAAGCTGGTTGTTAGTTTCATTGTTTTTCAATCATTGTTTGATTTCAATGATGTGATGATCGCTATAAACTCATGGTTTTGAGGGTGGTGAAATCACCAACCAGATTCGGTCGTGTTGTAAATGATACCCCAAGATGAAGAGGGCCTCAGTTGTTTATCAATTGCTAGATTCGCGGATCATGCAATTTTCACAGAGTTTGTATTTTGATATATAATAGATATGATAATAATTAGATATATTATCATTGTTTATTAAAGACAATGCAATGCTTCTGACATCTGTTAATACCCGTGTTTCAATGATCTGCCTGGGCCCCCATGCTTTCTGCGTGGGCCCCACAAGATCCACAAGCACCCGCACACGCAAACATGGCGACTCGCCTGCTTGTTTAGCCATTTCCAAGCCCACCGTTTCCATCTATTTTAATTATTTCAACCTCTCTGATGCATTTGGTTCATTCCATATATTGATGCATAGATATGACACTATTTGATATTAAATCTACTTATTCGTGTACACAATGGATATATGATATAATTATATATATATTATTATATATACTGTAATATATACATGTGTTTTTTTCATATTCCTGAACAATAGAATGTGTATGCATTGTACATGCATTGTACATATCTATGTGTCGGTGTCGTGTATGTGAGGCGCCTCCTGGCCCGACTGCTGCGAAGACACAAAGGTCTAGTGGAAGCTCTGGTGATGGGATCGGCCGAAATGAAGTGGATGATTTTGATTGGTGGTTTGGGAATAAACATATAAATTGGGTAAATATTGCAAATCATCAATAAATCATCTATAAATGAGCCTGGTTGGTGGTTTGGAACCATGGAATTTTATGATTTTCCATATATTGGGAATGTCATCATCCCAACTGACTAATATTTTTCAGAGGGATGGGCATACCATCAACCAGTTGAGGACAAGGAACCATCCAAGAAAAGTGGTTGAGATATTTTGAGGCAGGGTCATATGCTCAAAATTGGACAAATTGGGTTGTGTCACTTGCGTTGATTTCACAATCTTTGACTGGGATGATTACTGTCCTGGAATGTCGACCTGTGAGATTTGTTGAGCTGGGCGAAAAAACTAGGGACTCATGGGTGAAATGCTGCGAAATCAGCCCTGGGTTCCAAGTCAGATTGTTCGTGCAGGCCTACATATGCTGGTGACCCTTGCCAAAAACCCTGGGCAGGCCAGGCCAATAAAAACTTAGGTCGATGTTGGACGTTTGGTGTGCTGTTTTTTTAAGATTTTTGTTGCTGGGGGGGTCTAGTTTTTGCCCATATACCCAATCATTTTGTTTGGTCGTTGCAACTCATACATCGTACGAACCAAATCGCTTCCCGTATCCTTTGGTGATCTGATGATTTGTACTAGTGGAGGAATCAACATATTGTCCTTTGACAAGATCGACCTATATATACATTGTTGTGGTCCAGACTGTCTCAGACGTGAATATGTAGATTACTTTGGTTTGTTTGTTTTGTGTCATACTGGGCGCAACACTGGAATGACCAGCATTGTCATGTATGATCCGATATACCAGATCATTGTTTCTCAGTGATACCTCATGATACCTCCATGTTGCTAACTATCGTCTACATCTATAGATATGTCATTCATTCGCCCTTTTTGTAGAGTAGTCATCATGAGTGGAACTTCGGCGCAGCGCGTGGTCGCTTCCCATGCCACGCCTGTGGTGTGGGGAATGGACGCATGGGAAAGCTACAAGGGCTCTCACTTGCTAAAACTAGGTTTATGACCCCATGCGATAGGGTACAAGTTGCAAACGGATACCTTTTCCCTCCAAACACCCATTCATAGATAAAGGTCATGATGTTTCACAAGAATTTCCAATGTTTATCCTCTGGTTCTTTAAAGCAGCTAGGGAAGATCATCACTTCTAATAGATAAGTCAATGATAAGTCATACAGTATTAAGTCATTATAGATCATCGATTTTTATGGGCCATCTATACCAGAGCTATTTTAAATAACCGGGGAATTGGACGGCCAACCCTCGAAGTGCCACCAGGCACAAGGCGTTTGGGAAGAACGGCCATTGCCCTTGCTGTCGCCCCAAGTCTCTGAGCTCGCCCGTGTGGCGCGGAAACTCAGCCGGCTGTTGAGGGACCATCAAGCTGGATATTCATGCATTTAATGCTGTATATATATATATTGTGTATATATATATTTATTTATATATATATATATTAAATTCTAAAATTAAGTTATCTTGTTTTATCATTGATTCAGTGTTTTGCATGGTATCTAGGAATCTAGGATTGACCCTGCTATGAAGCAACGGCTTCTTGGTCCACGTTCCTTGGGCTGTGGATTTCGGAGGCAATCAGCATCAATGAGTTTTGGGAGTTCAAACATTCCATGGACACACTATTTTGACCACCGCCAATACCCAGATGTTTTGTTTCTGAATAATATCCCAAAAAACTAGAAATACGTACCACATACCTGTCAGGAAATGAGGCTCAAACATTGTAACATGCTTGGAGACCAATTGCAACAAACCCCTGGAAGCCAGACCTTGCAATCGCTTGCCTCAAGCTTTGCAGTCTCGCTCAACTTGTGCCGGTTCGTTCTTCTGGGGATAAGATGGAGGCAAAGGGAATAGTGACATGATTTGGGGGGCTGCTTGTGGGGGCCCCAGTTTGGTTCCGCTAGTATGGCTACTTCTAGACATCTGAAGCCGCAAACAAGCGAACTTCAAACGGTGCATCTAGTTGCAGATGTTACTTTTCCATGCAACAACCATGAACATGAAATTTTTAGATGGAAAATCAAACCTGTTTATTAAAAACCTATTTGAAACCGTCGATCCGTTTGAATCCTCTTTGGTTCTTGCCACGCAACAACCACAGCATTTTTGGGGAACTTTCGCTACCAGAGTGGAAGTAACTGTGTACATACTGTGTATGACTATGTCAAATCATGTAACTATATATGTGTGTATAAGTATGTTTGTTTCTTTGGGTATACAGGTACGACTGAAGAAACCAACCCCACACTGAAGGGGCCTAGCCACCCGTTGGTAGGCGGCCCTCGCCATGCACGAGTTGCAGCAAGACATCAAAGCCTACATCCACGCCACTGCGGCTAAGGGAGCTTCACCTTCGGGTCTCTTGGAGCAGATCCGGGATTTAAGCGACAAATGGTGGCATAATGCGGATACAAAGGGTCAAAGGAGATATAAGTATTTGTATTATAACGATCTAACTGCGACTTCACTAGGATTGGCGGAATCATCCCCAAATTGCAGAACTTTTCAGGTTGGTGAATGATTATATATGTTTGTTCCATATAGAATCATATATATTATATATATATATATATACGTTACATATATATATATATATACAGGGAATGATCATACTGTAATACCAGACCATACTGCAGCTGCAAGCGGACATAGACCCTGCCAAATAGGGAGTTAAGAGTAGTGTGAAAGACTACTTTCCTATGACGTCGGTGATTGCCAGGGTCGATATTAGTTGGGAGGGTGTATATTGTATATATTGCATCATGTAGATAATTATGTATTGAATATGTATATATATATATAATATATATATATATATATGAAATCAAAATAGCCTCAGTAACCGCAGAGAAGTACTATTTCAAGAAGTCCACATTTGATCCAAACTCGTATGTGTTCCTGTTAAAACTACGCTAATATATATATATATATACACATACATATATATATATATATATGTGTTTGTATGTGGCTTGAGTTATACAAGCATTATCCAACTCAGAAATATCCCAGATGCCTAGTTAAAAGGTGCCTGGACTTTGGGCCAAGTTTGCCAAGGCTCACCTGACTCATCTGGGAAGTCGGAACTTCTGCCGCGGAGGTTGTTTCAGTCGGAAGGCGGGTTGTTTGTCGGACATCATCTGTGTCCAAAGAGTTTTCAAAGTTCTTAGCTCCAAAGTCGTATCAGGTCTAAGAGGGTAACTTTTTTAGAAACTGGAAAGCACACATTTAGAATCCACAATGTGATCACATTTGAACCTCGAAGCAGGACCTAACTCTTGGGCAGCAGACAACGGTGAGCTTCACCATCATCTCATGGGAAACATCCCTGCGTCTTGGCAGGATGTGACAGGAGATGCCGTGAAGTCTGTGAAGTAAAAAAAAACAAGAAAATCATGGAATTTCCCATCCACCTGAGAGGTTGCCTCATTGCTCCCTTGTCATTTGCGCATGTTTTTGAGGATTGGAATATATTGGAATATATGGAAACCATCCAAGAACGAAATTATGTTGCATTCTGGGCCGAATTCAGTGGGTTGGCACCAACAAGTACACTATGGAAGTATAATACATGCTTATGGTTCAAGAAAATCTGACCCCGAACTTAGACGGTTTCGTTCATGGTTGATGGTTTGGTACCGACCAATTTAGAGTACCCAACCCCAACCTAATTGATATGTTGTTGCTTCTATTTCCCATCATATCCGCTTCAGTTCAAATTATATCCCACTCTCGCAAGCATGTAAAACCATACCATATTGGTGTACCTCACGACATATACCAACACTTGGAGGTTTCCAATCCATGGGGGTACCTATAAAAATCGTCCATTTATAGATCGGATTTTCATAAACCATCCAGCTATTGGGGTATGCCATTTATGGAACCCCCCATTCAGTGACTCTGGCGACCAAGGCCGTGAGCTACGGCGTCGAGCAGATGAAGGTGGGGCGTACGGCCTGGGATATGGTGGATGTGTTGATTTTTTAGAAGGTTTACCCGGCCTGGTAAACAGTCACATAACTATGGACAATCAGCATTTTTCATGGGTAATTCCACTATTTCGACTGGGCCATTTTCAATAGCTATGTTAGTTTACCAGAGGGTATCTAAACTGATTTTGGTATCCTCAAAAGGACACACACGTTTAGCTTGATTAATGATTGATAAACGTACTATGTACACAGACGTACACATGTTTTATTCCAAGGCATTGTGGTTTCATAGTATCATAGTGGTTTGAGACGTTCATTATTTATCCTGTTCATTCCTTTTCACTATTTCTTGTGTCTTAAAATGTTACATTTTTTTTCAAATTCATGCTACCATTGCGGTGTATTCCCTATGTTTAGACCATTTAGGGGTCAACTGACTTAAAGCCCCCAACTCTTGCCAGGTAGAACAGGTGCAGCAGAGGCTCAATGATTACCAGGAACGTGTGAAGAAGCTTGTGGATCCTCAGCTGGAATGGGTATTCTGTTCATGTATATATATATTATTATGTTTATATTAACCATCCAAGTTTAGGAGTATCTAATTTTGACCCATACCCATATTAGGTGAGATGTTAAGCCATTATTTCCAGTTTTTTTTTTGGGATACAGTACAAAGGTGTACCAAGCAGTGGGTTTTCACTGGGCACATGGTGAACAGCAACATTTGGCATGTCAGCATGTTAGCTGCTGGGACTGCGAGGTGACATTTCTGCAGCTAAGCCGTGGGACCAGATATCAAAAGGCCCGGTATTCGTTTGATCACCGGGGGCATCCACTGCTAGGGACTGAGATGAATCACAGAGACCTCAGAGATGTGTTGTTTCCCTAGCTGGCACTAACTTTGGGACATGACCCCACATCATGGTGAATACCCCTCAGTCATCCCATTCTATTGGCTGGTTGTCCCATGTTATCCGCTTTCAATCCCGAGAAACATCGGATGTGTGCAGTAAATCAGCAGCCAAGGATGAGACGAAATCTTTGCTGGCCTGCGGAGCAACATTCGACATCCAACAGCACCGGAAACTTGGTTTTGACATGTTTTGACCATGAATTCGTGTAAAGGTGCGTAAATATAGATAACATAATATATATATATACATACACAATGTGAACACATAGTTAACAATAGTATTTATAATTATGCATGAGTACAATATTATATTTGCAATATGGTGTAATATTGTCCATATGCATAATAATATGTATATGTATATACATAGACACACATGATTGAGGGATCAATCAGCAATCATGGAGATGTGGGCCAGAAAAATGGAGGGGATTGAGACTAGATCCAATTCTAGGATATTGGATGTAACTACTAAGTCCTATAGTAAGTACTACTGTTTCAAGTAAAAATGTGCTTGTGAGCATTGGTCAATGAAATGATCCCTGTCATATCTGTATTCACATTCCATATGTTCCCAAGACAGGTGCGCGGTCCGATTTTCAAGAAGTAATTCATATGTGCACATATATATATATATATATGTCACCCTTTGCATTCCCTTTCAAATTTGATCCGTGCAATCTTTCTCTTGGATGGTTGTTTGCTTCAATTTCCATCATCCGTACCTCAGGCTTTCAGGCTGGTTATGCCAAATAGTTGGGTCCCCTCAACTAACATTTCCGTGCTTTTGTTTGGCCTTATTTTGGCTTAGGCCTTCCACCCTTCCAACCATGCTTCCAGAGTTAGAGTCAGCTATGCGTCAGGAAAGCTGCGAGGAATATTGGCATCTTGGCTCCGACGGACCCACAAAACTGTCTACTAAACTTTGCAAAGGATGCTCGAAGTGAATTGATGAATACAGTGCTATGTCATACGAAAGGAGTTTGTTTCCCTCGTGTTCAATAGATTCTGAGAACATGCTGGACAAGACAACGTATTTTAGTGTATCCACGTTTGCATACTTAATTAGTCAAATCAGAGAAGCATGTGCAACTAGACTACCATGACCTTCAAAATCCATAGACTGAATGTGAAATGATCATAAATGATCAAAGCGCATGATTTTTGTTTGTGTCAAATGCTTATATTTATAGTGTTTTTTAAGTGAATGCAACCAAGTTTGAATCTGTGGTTATCAAGTCATCATTGCCAACATCCAGCAATATTCCCATGGTGGAAAAGTCCTCCCTCCAAGCAACCAATTCTCCGGTTCGAACTATTAGTTGGAGGGAACGTACTGGTCAAAGATGGGTAAATACAATGTTTATGCGCTAAACCCTCAGTTTTGAATATGTAAATCTCCATGTTTGTTGGTTGAAGTGAAGCCCCCTATTGTTGCTGATTTTTATCCCAATGTTTCACCATGCCAAATCCGCTGTGATTGGTATTTCCCAATTCTTCATTTCTGTTTGCTGTCTGAATTATATATGGGTATGGGCCAAAATTGGGTACCCCAATAACTAGATGGTGAGTACTAAACACAGACTAAAATCATCTAGAATCTGTGCTTTTACTGGGCTTCAATTTTGACCCATACCTATATCCCCCACACACTTTCACAAAATGTCACATGTGGTGCCAACCCTTTGGCCTTTCCTGAGGAGAATATTTGATGGATGACATACTGATTTTGGACTCCTTGGCCAACCTCTACCAGGAGGATCGTCAGGCGTCATCTTTTGGGGCCAAGTGGGACAGGGTTACTTCAGCCCATAGGTAAATGATTGCCAAAAGGGTGTGAAATGGGTGATGAGAAATTGATTTTCCTATATGTTTCACTTCTTTTATGCAGGCGACCACCCAAATGATCCACCCATAGATAGAATGAACTAGATGGAACTAGTGCTTCAGTACGGAAAACATCATTTGAAAACACATCTGGAAGGGCTAGGTTTGTTGATAGCGAGTTCACCTCAAGGCTTTGATATGAGATACAACTTACATCAAGATGAGTCACTGCTGCTTGGCGCCAGGCTCGCAACAAGGCTTTGGGAGAGATTGAGGCATTGGTCGAGCAGGCCTACAACTGTGATCACAAAATGACTTCTATATATTTTCCATAAACCATCGCCAATATACCGAATCCTGCCATTTAAGGGAAATACAAAAAAAACACATGTAAAACGAGTTGATTTCTGGGATTAGTTTAATGCTGTATGATAGGTTTGACATGAACCCACTAAGAACATTTAGTATAGAAGCACCAGCAATTTGGAGCTAACCACCAAGGATTGTCCGTAAACTTGAGGGTCTGGGTCTGGGTACTGTACTGTATGTCGTTTGGTTGTCAGATTTGGCCCCTCATTTCTCGGTCAGAACAATAAGACCTGTTCGGAAACCACATATGGGTGCCTCCTGAGGTTCATGGTCAAAAGCCACAGGTTTCCGGCAGCTGTGAAAATGCTGTGTCTTCCCCAATCTATGGCGAAAACCACATGTGAAAATGATGGTCGCGTCCATTGGAATCAGGGTTTTCCTTGAATTTTCCTCCAACTAAGCAAGTGCCACCAGGTGGACCTTGTAAAGTCCATGCTGAAGGAAAGGCAGGACCTGATAAACAAGGCGGGGCCACAATCAACCATCAAAGGGTCAAGTCTTCTGGCCAAATGAGAAGATGGTCCTACAGAACAGAAGCAGACCATAGCAGACTAAATGACAAAGTATCCAGATTCAGATTACAGTGTTGAGTCTGACTCATACAACACATGATTTTAGGTGGTGCAACCCACGTGCAACAGCTTGGTTTGCAGGGGCTAGATGGAACTTGGAAGCGTCCGAAACATGTTAAGAGATATTACACAATATGAAAAAAACATCTGGGCTTTGCGTGGCCATTCTCCATCTCTGACTCTGACCAGCTCACTGTACAGCTTCAAAAGACAATCGCAAGGGATTGACCCATTGATATGTCGGACATAGCTTATAACTTATGGTCAGCCTTGGCCAAACCTGCTGATGACTTCAGATCTAGTTTAATTCGAAAAGCACAGGAACTAATCGAGCTGTATGGTAAACATCATTGTGCCTGGTTCCATTATATTAACCATTATAATGCCATTATATAATATTAACATTATATCAACCATTATGTGTTATATGAGAACAATGAGAAATGGTTAGTATTAACAGCATGTTTAAACATTTAAACCAACGCCGGGCCGTATGAGAACACCATCGCCATTGTTTCTGGTCCAGGCAGATTCGCCGATGCAGATGAAGGCTCTGTCTCCCGCGACTGTCTGGAACAGCAGTATATTTATTTGTTGGAATTAAACACAATATAGTCTATTGATATAGTATTCCAATATTCGAATAAACTCTGATGACTTAAAATATACTATGGGATGGAATAGTATATTTGATGACACATCATGGTATATTTCAATATGTCATACTTATGAAAAAGTATATTGATGCAATTCGATGAACATATACTTATGTGGAGGTTTCCATAAATGGGGGTATCCCCAATGGTAAATCCTAGTAAATCTGGATGAGAACTGGGGTACCCCTATTTTAGGAAACCCCCATATACTTATTGTACATAGTGGAATGACACTAAATGCTTGTCTAAATGGCTCATGTGACTCAGGTGTATCTTTTGATTCTTTTGTACCATGTTGCAGGATGTAAATTGTATATGTAGGTGCATATGTTGACTTCTTGGAATGGCAGCAGTTTCAACATGATTATGTTGCCTGACATTGCCATCGCTGACCAGAGATAGCTTTTTCTCTTTGATGCCAGAGGGTGATATGAATCTACCATGGGATAAACATAGATTTTCTACATTGCCAATTGCAATTCCCAATTCGCTTGTGTTTTCCCAAGACATGGTGGATGTTTCATATCTACATTGTATGATTTAGCTGAGGAAGACTGGGAAGACCCGGCGAACATGGCTCGGGAAGCTTCATTTTCCTTGGGAACTGGCAAGGTTTCATTGGAGTAAATCGAGGCTCCAAGGGTAACAGACCTGGCTATCTAACCCGGTATATCATAAATCTATATGATGATAATAACCATTTAGAATAATTATGATCATCTAATATTCATCTAAAATTACAGATAATAGTTATTCATCTATTATCTAATATTCATCTATTATCTATATGTAATGAGAATATAAAGATTTTAGATTTCTTTGCAGAGCGCTCTGTGAAGTCCCCAGGTGAAGCACCTGGTCCGGCGATTTGACAACCAGGGGCTTGCCACACCCTCTAAGGCGATGGCAGCTGGGGAAAAAAATGGTGGTTTTACCAACAAAACTGTGGGTTTCAACCAGCAGAACTTGGGATTTTCAGGCAGCCGAGTGAGGATTTAACCCAGCAGACAACTTGGAAATACCTGCTCCCTCAAGTTGTTCCCAACAAGTTAGAAGTATTATGTAATATTTATCATTTTGTAAAAGTCCAAAATATGTTGGGGTATGACACGTTTGAACTGAACGCAGATTTTGATGGGTACAAATTATGATAACTGTTGAGGGTCTAGGTGTAGATTAGATCACCAGCAATACTCGTTGGTGAATGTAGGTTCAGGAACCCGACACAGCTTTCTGGGAGTTTGGAGCATTGGTCGGGTTTTCCAACTTTGAATCCATCGGTAGACTCCAAATGAATCCAAGTTTCCAAGTGGCTTGCGACCATGTTTTGGGGTGCTTCCAGCCGCTTTTGCACAAGGGACAGAGGCGGAATTGCTGATTTCGAAGCTCCCTAGGATTGGAGACTCGAGTTTATAAAATTATTCTGGATGTGTTGAGGCCAAAACGGTATAGAATTTCATGATCAACGACTGGTTCAAGTTAAACTGATGGCAAAGTGATGCAAAGTGGGTTCAGTCTCACCAAGCTGGTTTCATATCCAGGTGCTGGAGAAAGTGCCCTCGGAGATGTCTCTTTCCAGGCGCTGACAAATTCTTCATCACACAGATGGCTGGAAGAAATCACCATCGATAATATCATGCTATAGACGGTATAGATAATTCTTCCCATGTTTTTTTGGTATACAATTGATAGATGATGGTATGTACCGGTCTACATTTATCAATTATCATATGATGGATTTTCAGCCACGATCACCGGGGGTTTGGGTGAAGTCCCGGGTCTGCTAGGCCTGGCTGCGCTTCAGAGGCGCTCCACTTGGCAATTCACGAAAACTTACGGATCACTGACTCACTACCCTCTGGTAAACATAGAAAAAGCTATAGAAAATGGCAATTTATAGTGAGTTTTCCCATGAACAATGGTGGATATTTCCATATTTTTCTCTTAACGTTTACCAGAGGGTAATCCAAATGGAGATTCAACGCTGCAAGCATTGCGGTACGCAAAGATCAGGAGTTAGCGAACAAAAAATGCAAGTCGCAAACACCCTGGTTTTAGTCCACAAAAAGTCTGAACTTAACAAAACAAACAAACATATGGGGAAATTATATGAAATTATGTTGATTTAGCGTAATTGAGCGGCAACACATTTCTCAGTTTTTGAGCCAAGAATGGCTAGTATCGCTATGAAGCGGGAAGCTGTTGCTAAGTAAAGTGACCTGGCAGAACCAGGTCGGGAAGGTTTGTTCCTTGCCAACTGGGGCTAAAACAGCTTAGTTTAGTTTCAACATTTGGATCAGCCATTCTGATGGTCTGAGAGACAACCGGAATTGAGGATAAATCAAGTAGATGTTTTGCCCATGAGGTTATGTTTGAAATTGGGCATATGGTATACCCTGAAAATAGCATTTTATTGTGCAACATGATAACAAATTGATAACAAGAACACATTGCATTTGTTGGTTCCCTATGTTCAGACCCATAATCTTTGGTAATATTGACAGTTTCCATCGTTCTCCTTTTGGAGTAAAAAAAATCCATGATCCTTTGACCATTCTCATCTTTCTTGGGTACATTTAAGGGAGAATTAACTTTACCCGTACCCATAGCATCCACATGCAGGACTAACTACACATGTGGACAATACATGGGGCAAATGCAGGCAAATTTGCCAGAACTTATTATATTTTTTTGTTTTTCATGTTGATGTTTTTGTCCGTCTCAATGAAGGAACACCATGGACCCACACTGTTTTTCCTTTAACTGTTCCAACATGGCATTCAGTTATTCGTTCAACTGTTCCATTGACGTACTGCTGTAGCTTCTAGCATTTCATATGCGATTGTCCTAATTGATATGTCACTTTTCAATCTACAACTCTTGTACCACTTTTGATGTACGGCTTCTTGTTTTCATTTACTGTACAACGTATCAACTTACCACTGAATATGAAAAGACATATACATTAATGGTGGAAAATCCTATGGTTATGTGGATGGTTAATGGTGGAAAATCCTATGATTTATATATTTTCCACCATATTAACCCCCCACACAACATTTACCAACCAAGAGGGCGGCGCTGTGTGCCAGGTATCCAGCCAGCTCTCGGTCAGGTCCATGAACCGCCTCTCAGCAGCCTTTCTGGACATAGGAACAACCGAACTGCCATGATCCGGATCGATGTTTTGAATATTTTACCCTCTGGTAATTTAACATAGCTATTGAAAATGACCATTTATAGTGGATTTTCCCATTGAAAATGGTGATTTTCCATAGCTATGTTAGTTTACCAGAGGGTACATCTTTAGGAAATACTTGAAGTGAATAGAAACTGTAAAGATTGAATTTGAAAGGTTTTGGGTTAAACATGCACCCAGTGATTGCACCACGTACTGAATGCAGCCCATTTATCTTGGTAACTTTCATCATTGTTCTCCCCAACATCGCCTTATCTATGGGGCGGTGAATTATTGGAACTTACCTGTCATTATTGAAACATGAGAATACCATTCCCATATATAACTACCCATACCATGTAGATGGTTGAGCATGAAATACATGCATGGTATGGGTAGGAAATTGGTGATCAATCTGATTGGTGGTCTGTTTTCTTTTATGTCCATCACAAGAAGTGGCACACAGTACAGTTTAGTTATAGGTTTGAACCTCCCCCGCTAGAAATGTGTGATCAAGAACGCATTCTAGAACACGTGATTTGAATTCCGATTTTTTTTTGAAGACTACTGTGGAACTCAACAGAAATAATGGGGCTGGACAATGATGTTCCTATTGGACATGATTTGTCTGCGGGAATCAGCTTGCGCATCAAGACATGATCTGCTAGAGGTGGGCCATTGTTCAATGCGGAGAGTATATGGCAATGAGTATATAAAGAGTATACACGCGTAGACATCAGATGATATGCTGATATATGCTGGACATTTAGATCCAAAATTTTCCGAAGGTTGGCCAGGCAAAACAGAGATGGAAGGTGTGTGCTGAGAGTATCAATGACCCAAAGGATCCCAAAGGTGCAATTAAGTTTATGTCATTTGGATAAAGAATAATGACCTCACTGTGACCTCACTGGAATGATAGCTAGTAAGGGGAATTGCCAGGCCGGGGCAACACAATGTTGCAGCCCACATGTGTTGCAGCCCAGTTTTCGAAACTAGCCCACATAGTTCCTGTATAGTTCCTGTAGATGACATGATATGGCCATTTCGGGGACCGACCACTGGAGGTAACGTTCCCATCAGGCCGGAAATCTTCAGGGCCGGAAATCTTCAGGAAAATTTCAGGAAATATCCCCACAAAAACAGTTGCTTCAAGTCTTTACATAGTGCAGTACCTTTAGAAATTTAGGGTCTTGAAATTCCCATATAAACATGTATATATATCACTATAAACTTGAATATATATATATATTATTATATTATATTATATTATATTATATTATATTATATAATAAATATTATATTATATTATATTACATTATATTATATTATTATTATATTATATTATTATTATATTATATTATATTATATTATATTATATTATATTATATTATATTATATTATATATATATATATATATTATATATATATATTACAGAACTCAGCATATCCATTTTGGCAGCGTTATTCCCCCAGGTCCTTTCTGGGTCAACGGATTCCAGCGTCCTGCCCCCGTGGGCACTGAGGAACTTGTGCCCTGGTGAAATCATGGGTGAAATCATGGGTGAAATCAGTGAAAACATTGGTTATAAACAAAACATTTTATGGTGATTCACAATTGGATATACCCTCTGGTTATTTCACGTAGCCATGGTATAGATGGCCCATAGAAATAGATGTTTTTTGATGATTTACCTATTAAAAATGGTGATTCTCCATAGCTATGTTAAATAACCAGAGGGTAGATATTTTCTCATAAGTGTGTCACTTAAATGTGGGATGGCCCACTCATTTTCAGAAACTTCAATAGGGAGGTGAAACCCCCATATATGTAGTAATAAACCGTGGAATTTGGGATATGGGTACCACGAGTTTGCGGCTACAGGCAAATTCCCAACTCGTAGCTGTTTTTCCCCACCTGCCAGGTGAGGGTTGTTAGATTTTATGTCAGTTGCCTCCTCCTCCTCCTCCTGCTCCTCCTGCTCCTCCTCCTCCTGCTCCTCCTCCTCCTCCGCCTCCTCCTGCCTCGTCCTCCTCCTCCTCGTCCTCCTTGTCATCCTTGTCGTCCTTGTCGTCCTCGTCGTCCTCGTCGTCCTCGTCGTCCTCGTCGTCCTCGTCCAACTGCGACCCGCGATCCACAGTGTTCTCTGCCGGACCTCAACCACGACCATCCACGCCCACTTTTCCCTGCCGGACCTCAACCACGACCAGCCACGCCCAGTGTTCCCTGCCGGACCTCAACCACGACCAGCCACGCCCAGTGTTCCCTGCCGGACCTCAACCACGACCAGCCACGCCCAGTGTTCCCTGCCGGACCTCAACCACGACCATCCACGCCCAGTGTTCCCTGCCGGACCTCAAACGCGAGTATCCACGCCAAGTGTTCCCTGCCGGACCTCATGTAGGAAGATATGGGACAAAGAATGTGCAGAAGAAAGTTAGAAAGAATGTCAGAAAGAATGTCAGAAGATATGCCAGAAGATATGACAGATAGAATGCCAAATAGAATGCCAGATAGAATGCCAGAAGATATGTCAGAATATATGCCAGAAGATATGCCAGATAGAATGCCAGATAATATGCCAGAAGATTTGCCAGATGGAATGCCAGATAGAATGCCAGAAGATTTGCCAGAAAATATGCCAGAAGATATGCCAGATAGATATGCCAGAAGATATGCCAGAAGATATGCCAGAAGATATGTCAGAATATATGCCAGAAGATATGTCAGATAGAATGCCAGAAGATATGTCAGAATATATGCCAGAAAATATGCCAGATAGAATGCCAGAAGATATGTCAGATAGAGTGCCAGAAGATATGCCAGATAGAATGCCAGAAGATTTGCCAGGTAGAATGCCAGAAGATATGCCAGAAGATATGCCAGATCATATGCCAGAAGATATGCCAGATAGAATGTCAAATAGAATGTCAGAAGATATGTCAGATAGAATGCCAGAAGATTTGCCAGTAAGAAAATGTATAAATGTCATGGTGGGGATCACACGAAGTAAAGTAATTTCGATGGGTACATATCAGTTTTATTGGCAAACACAAATTCAATGGATAAATCCTCTGATGCTTACCAATATTTACCATTAAATTGCGGTATTTGCCATTATTCAACAATTTTCATGGTAATTTGATTATTTAATTTTACCATATCCAATTGTGGTATTAAACATATATTAATTTACCATTCTTCAACCAATATTTACCATACCCTCTGGTTATTTAACATAGCCATGGAAAATGGCCCATTCATAGATGGTTTACCTATTAAAAATGGTGGTTTTCCATGGCTATGTTAAATAACCAGATGGTATATCCAATTTATCCATGTCTGAAAATTTTTGGATCAATCCCCTCACCCAGCGGCCCAGGCGCTCCGCCTCGCCGAACGAGGGCAGCGGAAGCTTGCGAGGATGCGTCAGCGGAACGTGGAGAGTTACCACAAGGTGACACCAAGCCGTGATTTACTGGGATTAATGATGGTTAATGATGGTTAATGGTGGTTAATAATGGGATTAACAATGGGATTACCGGTTGGTTGGTTTGGAACATGTTTTTTTCCTTGGGAATGGAATAATCATCTCAACTGACGAGTTGTCCATCATTTTTCAGAGGGGTAGGCGAAAAACCACCAACCAGAGTTGGAACATCAAATCAATGGAACATCCTCTGTGAGCTGGGAGATTTTGAGCGAATGGATCAACTATAAATGGAGGATTTTCCAGCATGGCTGATGATTTGTTGATCATTAGGGATTTAACCACCAAATATGTGCGGAACTACTAGAACTGATGATGTACCTTGATATACAGCAATTGAGACTGGTAGGTGATGGTTTGCTAATATGGTGCCCCCGAGTTATACATCGGTCAAACAACCCCATCAACTATAGATCCAATAGATATATCAACCATAAACCGTAACCATAGTTACTATAGTTAAGCTGCTTATAAACCGACTTGGCTATCTGCATAGGGAGCCGCACCTTGCAGGGTGTTATACTAGTTACTAGTTGGTTTATTGGGGGTTCACAGAACCTACCAGCCAGCATAATGAGATGGGATAGGGATATTGTTCACGGCCCAAACAGGTTGGTCACCCAAACATTTCATGAACTTATATTAGGTCGGAACAGCTTGGAACCATCCTGTTTCCTATGAAACATATATATATATATTATTCCAATTTGTTCCATCATATCTATGGAATATGCATCTTTTGTCTCACCAGGAGATGGGATCAAGTTACAGACCAACACAGACTAGACCTTGGAATTGGGCAATACCGTAGTTTCAAACACACACACACACACATCACTTCTGACTGTTTACTGAATTGTCTTTGAAAAATGTTCAGGAAACACCAAGTACTTTTCCAGTATTTCAGCATAGTTTCCTGTAGATGTTTGTCTTGAGCAGGTACATCCATATAAATCCACATTTTCTTGATAGATTATTATCCTCATCATATTGCTTAAATCCAAATGTTTAGCTCTTAGCCTTTTGTTGGCAAAAAATGGCCAGGCAGTGTCCGGCGCTTCCTGCCCGGCATGTGCCACTCCCAAGGCATCCGGAAGTCCAATGGTGTCTGGTAAGGACAGATCGGGGTGAAACCACATATGACCGGGATCATCATAGCGAACTGGAAAATCACCATCTTTAATAGGTAAATCAACTATGAATGTGCCATTTTCAATAGCAAACTGTTATATAGTCATTACCAGAGGGTAGATCATCTAGGAGGTGTTTGATATGATGGGATGAAAATTCTTGCCTGTAATTTCTTACATAGGTATAGCTATGCCCATTGATCGATTATTGATGATTATCTCTCAACTAATGGTGATTTGTTCCATAGCTACGTTAGATAACCAGAGGGTATGTGGGTGAGTCTGTTATGCCGAAGGATTCTTTGAGGCTACCCGGTAGGGTTGTTATGGATGGCATCCAGGCCTTAGGGTATCTTGAGGCCTTTTTAGACATCACATGAGCCCTAAAAAAAAGTTTTTTCAATGAGGAAATCGATGTTTTGTTCTGTGAGTGGCTAGGATTTAAACAAATACTTGTAGATTTGACCCATCGAAATGATGATTTAAGCCACAGAAATGATCAAACATGGGCTGAATTGGTGATTTCATCAACTGGTGTTTCATGGGGATGGGAATTTACACATGTTGGGATCCAAAGCCGCCAAAGCCCCAGCTGTTTGTCAACGAGCAGTAGACATTAAATCATCACCAGTGTGTTGGATACCCGTTTTTTGTTGGTTATCTCGATTCTCTCCATGGTAGTTACCTTATGAGAATCACCCATGCGGACCCATATAGACCTGAACACTGGCCAACAAAAAGGCATTGCTCTGCTGGTTGCCGTTCGCTAAGATTTCCTCAACAGTTTTGTTGGTTGTAGACCCTGACCATACCGCCATATTAGTATCCAAGCTCAACAGGGTTATCAGGCCTGTTTCAACACATCTAGTTTGTATGTTTACGTCACCCCATTCGCTGATAACATTTGGCTACAAGGTTACAGCTGATAAGGCCCCATCACCGCTATGCATATGTTTATACCATTCATATCCATGTATCTATTAACATCATGCATCATATGTGTATATAGAACATACATGGAAACCTGATTTGACATTTGCTCTTTAGCATGATTAACCTTCCACTCTTTGGGTCCAAATCCGGAATTAGGGTCGTTCAGCTTCCAGATTTCCATATCCGGTAATTGGGTTATCATAGGCAACTTCTACACCATTGCACCAGAAACTGTGTTATGAATTACACGTCCCTACAACTGTTCAAGTCTATACTATATATATATATAGAATTAAATATATATATATATATATTATATTATAATTTAAAACTCATCTACGATATGGAATATTTACAGATATACATGTATAACATCACACACATAGATATATATATATATATACATATAATACACACATGGATGTATATATATATATATACACAGCACACATACATGTTTTTTGTTAATGCATCATGTCTATGCCACTGATCATTAAGCGCCACTGAATCATCGGCTCCATGGGTTCCAGGCGCTGACCACCTGCAATGGGCCCCAGCTGTTGACACCGCAGCGGGCCCAGCAGCGGCTGCATAGCAAGCTGGTCGCCGTCGCCACGCCGCCGCCTGTGGAAAGATCAGGTGCGGTTAACGCTGTGAGGTTGGTAGCCCCTGTTGATTGGTCTGGATAACCAAAATTGGGATTTAAGATGATTCAACCAGATTTAAGCTACAAACAATTGGGACTTAGGAAGTAAAACATGAGTGCACCTTCTAATGTTTGCTCATTGATGGATGATTAATGTGGTAAACCCAAGAACAAATCGTCCTCAAAATAGAGGTTTATGGCATTGGGTAACTGGAATGATGTAAAATGACCCCCAAATGGTTGGTTCATGGGAAGGATTATTATTGGGTTTACCACTTTGGAGTAAGACTCAATGGGGATTGAATGTAAAACCCATGGGAATAGAATGTTTAGGGTCCTTGGCCGCACCAAGTTGTAAGTTGATCTATATATTTTCACTGCGAAGCTGATGACAGCATTGTTTGAATTTTGAAACGTTACTATGTTCGCCAATTGTTGTTCATTAATTGTCATGAATTTCGGCTAACCAACTGGTTTGAACACAGCAATTTTCAGCATCCATGGCTTCGGCAGGCATCCTTTGCCTGGAACCGTGGGATGAACGTACTTCCTGCAGCAGGACACTTCGGGTGTGGTTGGGATGTCAGAATCAACTGGTTCAATATATCAATGCAGAAATATTTGTTCAGGATTTGGGTTTCGAATATTTCATTGGTGCACGGTTTTCTATGTCAGATCCATATACCTATGCGGCAAGATGTTTTCGTTGCTCTGTATTGTTTGTGCGTGGTCGGGTTAACCTGACGAGAACATCCCTCGGGAAGGCACTGGTGTCTGGGATAGTGGTTGAATCCACAATGACGGACGCATCTTTGCAGCTTGTTCGAGCCACACGTGACGTAGGGGCAAAAAGAGGGCCCAGTATGAATTTTGCCACCTTGACCAGGACATTCGATGGGAAACCTCTTCGTGCTGTGAAGCAGCTGCTTCACTGAGGGGCCACGTTTACTGAAGGGCCGCCTGCAAGGCCATTCAGCAGTTCCCGATCGTAGCTATGTTCAAAATTTCAGACAGCGATTGGACCCTCCCCGTGTGCTCAGCATTCTGTGGCATTGATCAGCATCAAACATTTGAATATGCCAATGGTGGCTGTGGCTGGTGCTGAAACTTAAACAGTAACAAAACACAAGCAAATTTCTGCTCCATTCCTTTCCGCAATGTTACATCAATTTCCATCTCGTGTTTGAGTTTGAGCCACCCCAAGTTTGCCTGGTTACATGGTTCTGCAAGGCTCCTGTCCGAGAAAGCCATGACACGTTGGACACGTTGGGAAGTGCAGCCGACTTAATCCCAAGATCTCTAAAAACTCTACTTGGGGGTACAGTTCCATTTATAAGTAGACATACAATCACATACGGGTGCTATATCATGTTGTATCATGCTATGTCCTATCTTTTGAGGTTTTAGAATCCCAATGAATCCCATGATTATTGAAAAGGTCATCCCAACAGCCCTCAATCGCTGCGGTGGTGCTGGTTCCATGGTTGATGTGTTTTGGTTCATCCTTTGGTTGGTGGATGTTGGTTTTGTATGGTTTTGTTGACTCCAAACTATATCCCTGGAATGATGACACTTGAAGCCAAGAAACAAAATGATGGCGTCTTGTTCTGAGAGTCATCAGCCATAACCTGCTATGACATGAGTTGCCATGGGTTCAGTCCCTGCTTTTTCGCAATTCGTTGCACGTTGGATGCACGGCGAGTGCGGAGTGCTAGCTTCAGGTGAGCAGCTGACAATACTTTCCCAACGAAGGTTACAATTGTCAGTAGCTCCTGGTTGGTTGCGGTAGGTCAATTGCTGTGTCTCGGCGAATTGAAATCTATGGCTGACTTATGGCCCTGAAAAAATGTGGCGTGTTTGGATAGCGGAACCCACCAACTCGATATAGTAACTTTAGCCCACCTGAATATGAGGCGGTATGAGCAATTGACAGGGTTACAACAGCACATAACTGTAATATTTTATGTAATTCAGAGGAAACCATGAAGACATAACCAACATCGGGGTTATCGCTGGATCAGTGGATCATCATGGCTGACTTGTCCATGGATCGATTTTTCCAGGCCATATGGGCATGAGCCTGACATGGATTTTATAAAAAGGGCCAAGTCTTTATGATTTGGGGCATGTTTGGGCCAGATATTGTGTACTAGACACTAGAATCCCATTGCCGAAGGACCCGAAGGAAGCAGAGATGTCGAGACTGATAAATGGCGGACCTGCTTGCAACAAATCTTCCATGACACGTGACTAGCTAGTGACTGCGCGCGCCCAAGGGGCGACTGTCCTGAGAGTGCGAAGCATTTCATGAAGTGTAAAGATGTTGAGATCTGAAAGTAAGTGAGAGCCTTCAGTAATCGCATTCTTTCTTCCATTAGTATGAATTAGTTTGAGAGTCAGAGAAGTGGTTATAGACCATGTATATAATGTGCACGTCTTGATTTATGGAAGTGCTGTCAGGCTGCTGATACAGTGTTTCTTAACATGGGGGCTATGGATGGGATGCCTTGACGGTTGTTCTAATTGCAGCAGGATGAGGGTTCTTTCAAGGGCTGATGGCAGGGACTTTGTGGGTATTATTTCTATTTCCGCAATTCTCGGCAGAACGGTTTTTGTTGTCAACATTGAGTGCCACATTGTTCCAATCGAAGATAGTTTTCTATGTCTCTTTCAAAGAAGAAGCGTTCAGTGTCTGAGATCTTAGCAGCCGCTCAATTAAAAATCAAAGATTTGAAGCATCGGACCTACAAGTATGTTTTTTGTGAATTAATAATAGGATATACTATACTTAAAAAACTTGTTGATGTTTATTTTAACGTTATGCTAACCATTCCTAACCTATGATAGATAGTGTTAAATGTATAGGTGATTTTGTGATAAGGTCATGGATGGTCACTACCGTCCCTATCCTTCACAATGCCGGTTGAGGGAAGCGCAAGTCGAAGCATAAAGCGCATGAGGTGAAGACAATCGTTGCGATTTGCAGCAACTCATAGGACACCAAAATGTACAGAAAACCGTTTGGTTTTTGGTGTGTGATTGCAGATTATGAGTGATTATGATTAACTATTGAATTATAGATAATCATAGATAATCATAGATAATCATAGACAATGATAGTCTTAGGATGTTTTTGTTTCTCCTTTATTATGTATATCTTTTTTGGACCTCATGTTTCAGGATATCAGGGATCCAATCGTTCACCGAGTGCGCCTGGGGATCATTTTGGGGTGCCAAAACAAGCTGCGGCGTCAGCCTCCAAGTGGGGCTTACAAGTTACAATTCGGGTACCGGACACACATATGTATATAGTATATATATATACATATATACATATACATATATATATACATATACATATATATATATACATGTGTATATATACATATATATGTGTATATATAAATACATATATATATATATATACAATATATATATATATATATGATAATATACAGTATACATACATTGACATATGTCATATATATATATCATAGATACACACTAATATGTGTTCAACCAATCTTGTTCATTCTTCCAGATGATGTTGTCCAAACCCAAGCTGCCTGTGGGGCTTGTGTGTTTGCCTGCATGAATGGGTGATTTTTATGAGTAAATCAGGTGGTAGCTGTTGGTACATATTCCACCCCATGGATGACATGAGAAGCTGATCAGCCGACAACTCTGTGGTTATTTGTAAAACCATGCCCTTGGGAAATTGGGAAGTTATCAACTCAAGCAATGCGAGGAGAGACGCCAAGTCCGTCAGTCACGAAATGTTAGTCGCAGCTGCTCATAGTAATGTCAATTATCATCCACTGGGTTTACAAAATCCATGATTTGCCCACAATTTGCTTCAAAACTAACCCCTGTGACTTTCTGCGCATGGTGACCATGGTGGCTATCCATTTGAACTATTTTGAACTCACCTTTTTTCCAAACATTATGAGCTTGCGACAATTCACCCAGGCTGCATCTCCAGCTGTAGCCACTTGAGGTGTAATTATATAGAGGTTTGCGTTGATGTTCCTCAGATGTTGGGTCCAACATGTCCATAGATCAACGGAGATTCGATATCGTTATATATTACTTTTTTTAGTTGGTACAGTAGATGTTCCCCCTTTTTTGGTGTTGTTTTGTTTTCCTCTCACAGATATCCTTGTTTCTTTCTTTTACTAGTTCCTAGTAGTTTGTTTTGTTACTGGACTTTCTTTCTTGGTGCTTAAGTCCCCAAGATTGCTAGTTCACCTCAACATTTCATGTTTGTTGTTGGTCACACCCTAATTGTCCCTGCGTACACATTGTTTATGCGGTGTGTTCACCGGTTTGTCGGGTTGTCTTGGGTGGCAAAATGCTACAGCATTTGGTGGAAACTGCGTTCCTGGTTTGCCCATAGATTTTGTCACACACACATAATCACATATAGATATATATATATATAAATGACTATATAACAAATTGCAACAACCTTGAGCCATTCGTATTTTGTTCCCATAAGGTGAAAATCTCCGTTTGGTGACATCAAAAGACTGTGTTTTGTTTATCGGCTAAGGTGCCTCTCGAGAAGTTGTCAGACCAAGAAGCCGCGAAGGTGCAGCTCTCGGGGAGATTTAGGCAAAATGCTGGTGTGGTGGTGTGGGATAGCCATGGGGATATTGGGGATAGCCATGGGTATACTATCTATTGGCATGTATATATATATAATTTACCACTAATTTGGTAAATGTTTGCTAAATCTGGATACATCTAATTTAGCAAAAATTACTTCATCCAGTGTCAATCCAATCGCCATCAATTTCAGGTGTTAAAAATTGTGAGAATTGTGTGTCCGTCCTTTTGCGACCGGAGATGCTCCAGATTTAGTCCCAAGGCTCGCCACAAATGGAGGCTCAAAGGAATGCACCAATATGTATGTATATAATACGCTTTATAATTACATTGTATTACTATAATATATATATAAGATTTGATTATACGTTTGTTGATTTCATTATATTACATTACAGTCCATTGTATATATTATTTTATTCACAATATTGTCTATGCGGTTCAAGTGTATTGCAGTATAATTGTATATCAACAAATGGTATATTGTATACTTGTTCATACACAGTTTTTGTTAAGTATGTTATGTTATGTACAGTAATATTATGTTTTGTAATATAATAATAAGTTGAATGATATTATATTATTGTATTAGTGTATTATTATATTATTATATTATTTTATTTTTTATATATTATTATATTATTTTATTAGTATATTATTCTGTTATTATGTTATTTTGTTATTATATTATTATATACTCATATATTATATTTTTTATATTATTATATTATTATATTATTTTATTATTATATTATTATATTATTATATTATTATATTATTATATTATTCTATTATTATATTATTATATCATTATATTATTCTGTTATTATGTTCTTATGTTGTTATATTATATTACTATATTCTTATATATTATATTTTTATATTATCATATTATTATATTATTATATTATTATATTATTATGTTATTATGTTATTATGTCATTATGTTATTTTACTTTTGTACTAATTATATTATATATATTATTATATTATTATATTTTTTTTTATATTATCATATTATACTATACTATTGCATTTTGTTAGGTCATATTTTTTCTATGGTATATCATATAATATATTTCAATATATTATAATCCGTCGCGTTATTTCATATCATATAATATCATATCATATCATATCAAAGCACGTCATATCATTGAAAACACATTATTTTCCAAATCCCAATGTTTCCTGCTAAAATAATATCATTCATATCATATCATATAATATTATACAGGAATAGTATCATATCATAGCATATCATAGCATATCATATCATAGCATATCATATCATAGCATATCATAGCATATCATAACATATCACATAATATGTTATATCATATCATGATTCATATACATAGAAAAAGGTGCCTTACCAAATTCCAGGCCTTCCCGTCTTTTGTTGCGGGGCAGGTGTTCGTGTCGATGCTCCTCCGCCGTGGCCAAGATCGATTGTTGAACGGCCTCTCCAAGGAGCAGGTGACCGGGGACCGGTGATGACATGGGAACTTGTTGTGGGAATTTGTGATGGGAAATATTCAGGATATATGAGAATATCATGGACATATGGGATTGTTTGATTTTAACTGAAACAACAGGATAGAGGAGTGATTGAAATAATTATATTAGGAACATAATGACATAATGGGATAAATTGTGTGTTATAATCATCATGACTGGGATAAACAATGGGATAGTGACCATCATAACTGAAAAATATTGGTCATATATTTGGGGGATTCAATTATATTGTCAGCTATATGTGTATTAAGGGATATATGAAGGATGACAAAGGGGAGTTTGATTATTACCAGGTATTACCTTGTTACTGTTATGGGTTGATCTATGGACATCATGAGGATTTTGCCATCTAAAATCGGGATATCACGGGGATATAATAGATATAAGTAGTAGGCACCACTGGTTTAATTTTCAAAACACCACACAACGTATCATAGGAATGTTACCATCTAAACTGGGGATATCAGAGGAATATAACGTGATAAATTGCAATTCACTGTGAATTTGTCTTTTTGGAGAAGATTGGCCAGCCATACCCAGATCTGTAAAGAAATGGGTTGTTTCTCGCGTTTCATCCAATGATATATTTGCTTTAGTGAATACGTTTGAAGGTCAGAGTACATGGCACTTTCAACTTCTTTGAATTTTATGAGTTATGAGTTATTTCACGCTTCCTACAGTTGTTCTAGAATCGGACTCTTTGTCGTTGTTTTTGGATTTCCGAAACGCACAAAAAACACACACTCGGATGGACTCACCATCCAAGCTCTCAATTGTACGGCGGAGATCAAACAAAATCCAGTGAGGGCAGTTGTTTGACAATTTCATTTGGGGTAGTATAATAACCCCGTGCATTGCATTTTAGCTTGACTTGCACTTTAACACTGCCAATACGTTGCCGGCCCAGAAAACGATAAGAGGAAAAAAAACGATAACGATGCTCATATAATATATATATATATGTATTTATTTATTTATAATATATAATAACATATATTATACATACATGATATGAGTTACGGTCAAAACTCGATCTGGTATATTACTTTTGTAAGGAGAGTTCTCGGGTGTCAGGAACTTGCACAAAACACTATGTATCTATAGGTTCCCCCCAAAAGCGATACCTGCAATTGAGAATAAACGTTGGCAGCTCCATGGGATTGGACCAACTTGCTGAGTCTCATGTGTTTTGTTGCCCGCAGTCGTTTGCATGGACTACGAAAATGAGAACGTGCAGAGGGGACCAAAACGATAACGAAACGATAACGAAACGATAACGAAAACGATAAGGAATTGTAGCAAAAAACATGCCGTGTGAGCAACTACCCATTTGACAGGTTTCACGAGGCTTTTTGAAAACAGAAATGTGTGGCATGGTAGTCTTGTTTAGCTTTTCCTCTTTACCGGCTTTGCCTCACCTTGGCTTCTGCCATGTCTTTACCACCCAAGACTGTCTATGCCTTGCTGCAGCAAGTTTTGAAAGATCCTGAAATCGGACCTGGTGCAATTTCAGAAGCAAAAAAGCAATGTCCCGGACTCCTTGCCCTAATCTCACAGACCAAAAAAAGAGTTGCAGAAAACTAGTCAAGTGCTGAGATGCTTCACGATTATGATCCATGTCGAAGATTGCACACAGGACAATATGTTTTGATCTTCCACAAACAATTCTTTCACACCTATGGAAGCCTGGTAAATTCACACTTCTTGTCTACAGGGAGCTCACCACCTGAGAAAACGATAAGAGGAAAAAAAACGATAACGCGATTTTGGGTAATTTAAAAAGATACGGGGTTTTTATACAACCCCATTTGAGAACAGTCTACTGATGCTGATGTTATACTGTTCTAAATTGATGCATGTTAATATGTTGATATATTGTGTTTCTTATGGGTGTTGATATGTTTTGTCCATGTTGATATTAATGTTGAACTTGGTCAATCAAACATGTTTACTGTATGTTTGTTGGCACCTGTAATCGGCTCTCGACGTATCTCAGGCAGTAGAACTATTGCAAGAAGAGAAGTTGCTGCGAAACTGCAGAGGACAACTCACCGAGGCACGTGACACGCGGCAACACGCGGGCAACACGCGGGTGTTGAGTCAAGGATGAGGGATTTATCAATATGATTACACATAATCCATGTCATGTATACTCATATGTATATTTATTTATCTATGTCATCTATGTGTTTGTTTTTTTTTGTGTGCACACATGTTTAAACATACTGTACGATGTGAATGCACGTGTGTATATATGATTATATAAACAGAGAGTTCAATTGAAACCAAGAAAGATGCAGACAGCAGCCAAGAATAGCACAGATCTGCAGAATTCATGGTGAAACTGTTGGATATTTTTCTGAAAGAAACATCTGACCGTTCAAGGGCCGTTCATTGCGGTGTGGCCGCAAAGATTTGGGTGGATTGCGACGGATGAGATTAGCCAAGACAGACAGAATGCTTCACGGAAACCATGAAGGCACTGAAACCTGAACGCATACTATATAAATCTATATAATATATATAGCATAGTGAGATACAAATAGATCTTATTCTTGTTCATTTTTAATGAAATTCTTTGATGCAATTTCAAATCGTCCCATATTCGTGATGTTTTAAGCACATCAACGAATTCCCGGTTGATTCATGGATGAAGATCTCCATCAGCCGGTCAATGCCAGGTGTTGAGTGTGGTCGACGAAGTGATCTCTGCTCAGATTCCGCTCTTTGAGAGGCAGGTTAGCAACCACTGGCAGGGCCAGGGAAATCCAGGTTCAGTGTTGGATGAAGACTTCATGACTTCATGACTCGGGGTTCCCAAAATTGATGGCATTCAATATTTGGATGAGAGAGAGATATATATATATATATATAGTAAATAAGGACCTTAGATGTAAGATGCTTACATGGATTTATCTTGATTTTATCATCTACTTTCAGCTGTTTCTGCAAGTGAATAAGGACCTTAAGTGTAGGATGGTTACATGGATTTATCTTGATGTTCTCATCTATTTTGAGCTGTTTCTGCAAGCAAATGTGCACCTTAGGTGTAGGATGGTTACATGCATTTCTCTTGATGTTCTCATCTTTTTTGAGATGTTTCTGCAAGTAAATATGGACCTTAGGTGTAGGATGGTTACATACATTTCTCTTGATTTTATCTTCTATGTTTTTTTTGAGCTGTTTCTGCAAGTAAATATGGACCTATGGCATATGATGATTACATGATTTTTACACCTGTGCTGAATTAATTTCTCATTGGCAGGAGGCAAATTTGAAGACCTCCAACATCTATTTTTACATTTATTGAATTTCAAGATTGTTTCAATAATTTGCAAGGAATAATATACCTTCTATAAATCTATATTACATGTGTAAATGATGAAAAAAGTGTAGAATTCATTGAAAATAACAGGCAATTGAGGCCCTCTAGGGATACAGATTGCAATTATGATTTTGTGCAATTCTGCAGCTATTTGCAGACCTCCACACTATTGTTCTTGCATTTTTCCATGTTCTTACATTTGTTTCCGTAAAATGCAAATTGCAATATTGGACGCCCCCCCTGGAAAATAGTATAAAGTCCGTAAAACGTGGGGGTACATATTGCAATCTACGAACCTATCAAAATGCAATCTTGCAATAAAGACGATGAAAAAACAATGTAAGCATACATTTTCATACGTCCCCCCCCCCCAAAACAACGTCTTATTGCAAGCTTGCATTTTGAGCGTCCCCCCACCTTAAAAGGGTGGTGATTATATAGTATTATATGATTCAGATTATAATATATAACAATAATTGTATTAATAGCCTCAATCATAATATGCAATATAATATAAATCATATGTATTGTATACAATCATATATTATATCTATAATACGTGTATCTGATTTACTATATATACAAATAATGTTTCTATCACTGGAACATCAGCATTCCATCACAGTCACAGGTTGGATCCCAGAGAATGTGTGCCACAGTTAGATTATAATATAGTTTGATCGGTGAGTGATAACAAAAATGATTATGAAAAAAATGATGTTACAATAATATGTTAGATTATATCGAGTTATGATTATAGTAATATATGATATTACAATCATAACTCCAGTTGAGTTCGGGAAATTTCATTGTGAGACTGTGATTTGTCACCCCGGAGTCACCCCTTGGTACCAGATGAGGCCACCCTGAAGATCACCACCTGCGATCAGCGTTGCAAGATCCGCAAGCGGAGGCACCAAGGGAGGATGAAGCCACCATGCCAAGGGAGTCTACTGAGCATCAATATGGGACTTGATGACCAAATGTGATGTCGTTCTCCATGGTTTTTGTGAATATATATATATACATATACATATATGTTTGATATGAAATAACAGTTTCCAGCGAGAACTGATCTAGTTGGCGGTGTCTACCTTTCTTATGTTCAACCAGATCATTGTCCGCACCAAGATTTTTTCAGGTGTAAAGGGTGCATTGAAACCATCAACTCGTTTGGAACATGGCGGATGCCTTCTATGATGATCCCTCGATTTTGTTAATAGTCCATCAGGATCCATTAGGATTCCCTCGGGTTAGGGGCATCTGACGCATCTGACCTTTTAAGCTGGGTCAAACTGATGTGTCTTTTCTTTCCTGAGTAAGACACCCATATAACCCTGGATACAGCACAAGTGCAAGTATTCTTGGATGGAGACTGAATCATGTATCGGATTGAAGAATATGATATTTTGCACTCAGGAAATCTCAGGAAGTGTTCCATGGGGTGCCCCCACTGTTGGGTAGGTTAACCTGTTGCCTGACGGGTGTCCAACATCCCGTATTTTTACTTTGTCCTTAAAAACAGAATGACCGGTTGGTGGTTTGGAATATTTCCCCACCTGCCAGGTGAGGGTTGTTAGATTTTATGTCAGTTGCCTCCTCCTCCTCCTCCTGCTCCTCCTGCTCCTCCTCCTCCTCCTGCTCCTCCTCCTCCTCCGCCTCCTCCTGCCTCGTCCTCCTCCTCCTCGTCCTCCTTGTCATCCTTGTCGTCCTTGTCGTCCTCGTCGTCCTCGTCGTCCTTGCTCAACTGCGACCCGCGATCCACAGTGTTCTCTTCCGGACCTCAACCACGACCACCCACGCCCAGTGTTCCCTGCCGGACCTCAACCACGACCATCCACGCCCAGTGTTCCCTGCCGGACCTCAACCACGACCATCCGCGCCCAGTGTCCCCTGCCGGACCTCAACCACGACCATTCCGCGCCCAGTGTTCCCTGCCGGACCTCAACCGCGACCATCCGCGCCCAGTGTTCCCTGCCGGACCTCAACCACGACCATCCACGCCCAGTGTTCCCTGCCGGACCTCAACCGCGAGTATCCACGCCAAGTGTTCCCTGCCGAACCTCATGTAGGAAGATATGGGACAAAGAATGTGCAGAAGAAAGTTAGAAAGAATGTCAGAAAGAATGTCAGAAGATATGCCAGAATATATGCCAGATAGAATGCCAAATAGAATGCCAGATAGAATGCCAGATAGAATGCCAGAAGATATGTCAGAATATATGCCAGAAGATATGCCAGATAGAATGCCAGATAATATGCCAGAAGATATGCCAGATAGAATGCCAGATAGAATGCCAGAAGAATTGCCAGATAGAATGCCAGAAAATATGCCAGAAGATATGCCAGATAGATATGTCAGAAGATATGCCAGAAGATATGCCAGAAGATATGTCAGAATATATGCCAGAAGATATGTCAGATAGAATGCCAGAAGATATGTCAGAATATATGCCAGAAGATATGCCAGATAGAATGCCAGATTGAATGCCAGAAGATATGCCAGATAGAATGCCAGATTGAATGCCAGAAGATATGTCAGATAGAATGCCAGAAGATATGCCAGATAGAATGCCAGAAGATTTGCCAGATAGAATGCCAGAAGATATGTCAGAAGATATGCCAGAAGATATGCCAGATAGAATGCCAAATAGAATGTCAGAAGATATGTCAGATAGAATGCCAGAAGATTTGCCAGTAAGAAAATGTATAAATGTCATGGTGGGGATCACACGAAGTAAAGTAATTTTGATTTTCCATTTCATATATGGGATGTCATCCTTCCCATTGACGAACTCATATTTTTCAGGATGGTTAGTCAACCACCACCATCCAGATTATTATTATTATTATTAACAATCATTAACCATATATTATTAACCATATACTAACCCATATTTTGAGTTAACATAGTGTTTGATGATCCAAACCAAACCAATGTCATTAGTGTTTGATGTGGGCTTGGCTCAAGCACCCATCCTTTTTCATTCCTGGCTTGTTCCCGACGAAGTTGTGGAAGCTCGTCTCCCGAGTGGCCCAGGTTGTTTCACTTTAACTGGGGTCATTTGAGCAATGAAAAATACTCTGGTCATCCCGGGTTTATTGGTTAATAATGGTTAATAAAGGGAGTTATACACGCATATTGGAGATTGTGATACTCCATAGTGGGGAAACCTACTGTACTAGTATCATTTGGTGTTGATGTGTGTTGTGTCTAGCCTGCGAATAGGTCTCTATTCTTTCAATCTACCGTTGGGAAGCATGGGAGTTCAAATGTATCTTTCATCAAACATGACCCAAACATACCCTCTGGTAATTTAACATAGCCATTGAAAATGGCCATAGAAATAGTTGATTTACCCATTAAAACTTGTGATTTTCCATAGTTTTTTGTATGTTTACCAGAGGGTATCCAAACCTTGCCTTGGTTGTGTAAATGAAGACGAAATAGGTGGTTTTCAAGTGTGGACCCGGACCCAAGATCCTGAGGTTAGTCGTCACAGCGCAATTGGTTTGTCGCAAATGTTTGTCAAGGGCGGATCTTGTTTACTTAAATCCTCCAAGTACCTGTAGAAAAATATTGGTAATAATGGAAATTTCAGGATCCTAAAATGGAGGTACGTAAACGTACCATATTTCAGGCCATATTTTCTGGAGATATTCCCATTGACATAGCCCTTACCAGAGCGTAATACTATAAACATATCCACTATGACTTGGGACATCGCGAACTAAGGAACTGCCAGGAGTGTGTTCCAAAATAAACCCAGCTGAGTTTGTCCGAAAATGAGAGATACAGTACCCCAAAAAAGTGCATTTTGATTTTCGAAAATGATGATCAACTGAGAATTATACATTTGATCTTGGGGTACCCTGTTTTGAGACAAACCCATTTGATTTGTTTCTAGACAGATGATCTCCAAGTAAAACGCCTGCGGTCTTTGCCAGTGTCGCCTGCTGCATGCGCAAAGCGCGCCAAGGAGACAACATATTCTGACTCAAGATGGGGCAACTTGGCCAGGAATATGTTACCTGAGTTTGACTCCAATGGGAAATCAAGTTACACAACTTCAGCAATTGTCTCTTCAAATGGGGGTCAAACCGATTCAAAACCTATGATTCAGATCACTATCCAGATGGGTATTGATAGGACATAGGTTTTATTGTCCCATATTCAATGGCTTTATTGTCCCATATTTTGGGGAATAAACATCCATCATCCAGCTATTTTGAGGTCCCTAGGGCCTAACGGTGCCAGGCCTTTGACTTCCGGTCAGCTATGCAGCCACCAAGGCTCAAATTTTGCTGGGGCATCAAGAGGACAGCGATTCGCTGCCATGTGGCCAGTAACATCTCCCAGCTGTCAGTGGAATGTCTGTGAAGTAAGATCAAAGAGGATCATTTGGCCAATCGCGACTCAACGCTTTAAGGCACAAAAACATATCAATATGTATATAAGTCAGCGTACATAGTGATCATTATCAATGATCTCACTATGTTCCATCCTTTTTCATCATTGCTGCTTGCATCCCACTAGGGGGATTGGTCACATGCGTTTGATATCTTGTCATTACCGTTTCTTGTCCCATTATGCTTAGAAAAAGCTCTACAAGACTCATACCATCAGTCTCAAATATGTTATGAGCATAACATGCTATGTTGTACAGATACAGCATTACAAAATACAGGTGACATGTGTATATGCATATAATATGTATATAACAATATGTACTTGAACATGTGCAAAACTACGTGATTCAAGTTGTGTGTAATTGTACCACATATATGAAAGGAGGGCCATTTATTTAGGGATTTTTTTTTTAGTTTAGGGATTTTTTTTTGGATTTCTTCCTGCTTACTCTATTGCCTCCTGCAGTGCTTCTCGGCTTCTTTGCTTCTATTCCTTTTTTTGTTTTTTTTGCTTTTCTTTGTTTTTTTGCTTTTTTGCTTCCCTTGCTTTTCTTTGCTTTTTTGCTTTTTTGCTTTTCTCGCTTTTCTGCTTTTCTTTGCTTTTTTGCTTTTCTTGCTTTTCTTTGCTTTTTTGCTTTTTTGCTTTCCTTGCTTTTCTTTGCTTTTTTGCTTTTCTCGCTTTTCTGCGTTTCTTTGCTTTTTTGCTTTTCTTGCTTTTCTTTGCTTTTTTGCTTTTTTGCTTTTCTTTGCTTTTTTGCTTTTCCATGAGGTGTGGAGCAACATCTTCTATCCATCTATATCCATCTATATCCATCTATATCCATCTATATCTATCTATATCTATCTATATCTACGTATCTATATCTATCTATGTCTATCTATATCTGTATCTATATCTACATCTATGGCTGTATCTATATATCTATATACCTATATATATATATCATATATCTATATAATTATCTATATATCTATATATCTATATATATATATATCTACATATATATATATATATATCTATATATCTATATATATCTCTATATATCTCTATATATATCTATATATTTCTATATATCTCTATATATATCTATATCTAGATATCTATATACATATATGTCTATCTATCTATATATCTATCTACCTACCTATCTATCTATCTATCTATCTATCTAATTATCTATCTATCTATCTATCTATCTATCTATCTATCTATCTATCTATCTATCTATCTATCTATCTATCTATCTATCTATCTATCTATCTATCTATCTATCTATCTATCTATCTATCTATACATATCTATCTATATATCTATATATCTATATCTCTCTCTATATATATACTATATATCTATATATATCTATATATATATATATATCTATATATCTATATCTCTCTCTCTATATATATATATTTATATACCACCATATATCTATATATCTGTATATATCTATCTATAT